TTCTCAGGAAATGTACCAAGAGGTCTTTTGCAACAAAGTTCGATGTTACTGTCTGAATTGGATCTCAGCAATAATAAGCTAGAAGGTACATTTTAACCGAATCCTTGTCCTCTTAGGTCCTATGTCATAACTACAATGTACATGCTGACAACTATATTCAGAGCGGGCACTGAGAACTGGCTTGCTGTACTTATGTTTCCTGACTTGCAAATGTATACCAGTTGATAAAAGTGGGCCATTGATTGATTTACCCTTTGCAAGTGAGGCAGATCTCCTTTATCACATGCTTCTGCAGAAACCGTAAATCTATGTACATATCCATAGAACCGGTAACAATATATGTGGTGGGGCTAAAAGATGTCTAAACTTATGGTATTATCCATCGAATTTTGATTCATGTAATGTTGATTTAGGGTCTTTACGCTTTCCTTATTTCAGTTTTGCTGCTATATATGTTGCATAATCTGTTCCAGATGCCACTTGGTTCTCCATATCACACCAATCTCATCTTATCAACTGTGATTCACTTCCTTACCTCTTAACTCAGACATGTTATGTTTCTCGTGGCAGGTACAATAGGAGGCATTAGCTCTACAACTCTGAGGAACCTTAACCTATCTTCAAATTCCCTCTCAGGTGTCTTGCCTGCAGTTGTTGCACATTGTTCTATCATAGACCTGAGCAACAACATGTTCTCGGGGAACGTGTCAAGAATCCAGAATTGGGGAAACAGCGTGGAGATCATTCATCTGAGCTCAAACTCACTAACAGGAACTCTGCCAAATCAAACCTCTCAATTCTCGAACCTGACTTCACTCAAGATATCAAACAACTCAATACATGGTGAACTCCCATCAGTCCTGGGGACATACCCGGGGCTCAAAGAAATCGACCTCAGCCTCAATTCTCTCTCTGGTTCCATTCTCCCTGATTTGCTTACTTCAAATGTGTTAACTGATCTCAACCTGTCATCCAACAATCTGACCGGTCCAATACTGGTTCAAGGAAGCCGCAATGTCAGCTTGACATCTCTTGATCTATCTCATAACTCATTAGACGGTGGTATTCCTCCAGAAATTGGTCAATTTCATAAGTTGCTGTATCTGAACCTTTCTCATAACGGTCTTAATGGCAACATCCCATCAGAACTTCCAGATGGATTAAAAGGGCTTGACATTTCTTCCAACAACCTGTCTGGTGTTATTCCTGACAACTTGAAGCGCTTCCCTGAATCGTCTTTTCTCCCAGGGAACTCCTTGTTGTCAATTTCCATCTCTCCAATGTCACCCAAGGGTGATTCTCAAGGTGTGACTCTTCCAAGTCACCGATCACGACTAAAGCCGGGTATTAAAGCTGCAATTATTGCTGGAATCGTAGGTACATGTGCAATTTTATTTGTCTTGTGCGTAGCTTTCCATTCCAAGACGCAGTTGCAGAATCTTAGGATGGGAGCTTCAAAAGGTATTGTCAGAAATGAACATGGTGTACAAAGTCGGTCCTCATTACTGCCTACTACATCCAAGCTGCAATCCACTGCATATGACAATGGTGACACATCATCGACCCTTGAGAAGCCAAGAGATAGTCCTCAACATTTCAGAAAAGAGGAAGGATTATCTTCTCCAATTTCTGTTTGTTCTTCTTCACATCCGTCCCCTTCTAAAGGCCACCTTTCTCCTGAGAGTCCTGGTATGCTGAAGGTGTACTCTCCTGATAAATTGGCAGGGGATCTTCATTTATTCGATAGCTCATTGGCATTCACAGCGGAGGAACTTTCTCGTGCCCCAGCAGAAGTTATTGGCAGGAGTTGCCACGGAACTCTGTATAAAGCGACACTTGATTCTGGTGCTGTGCTGGCTGTGAAGTGGTTAAAGGAAGGGATATCCAAAGGAAGGAAGGAATTTGGGAGGGAAGTTAAGAAACTCGGGAGCATCAGACACCCAAATTTCGTCCCTCTAGTCGGTTACTATTGGGGTCCGAAAGATCATGAGAGGATGATCATATATAGCTACTTTGATGCACAAAGTTTAGGTCTTTATCTTCAGGGTAAGTTCGCATTCCTCATTTACTGTATTGAAAAGTTCTTCACTTTTTCCTTGTTCAAGTTTTTGGAGTTAGCCTTTTCTGAAAAATATGTCATTTTCCCCCCATGGTGTAGCTTCTGATGCAGAGCAAAGAAAGCTGCCATTTTTATCACTAACCGAAAGGCTGAGGGTGGCGATTAGTGTCAGTCGATGCTTGAGCTATATCCACAACCAGAAAGCAATACCTCATGGCAACCTCAAATCAACAAACATTTTATTACAACCTCCACACTTGGAACCCATGCTGACCGACTACGGCCTCCACCGGATAATGACATCAGCGGGAACAGCAGAGCAAGTTCTGAACGCCGGTGCTCTCGGATACAGACCACCCGAGTTTGCTAGTTCGAGCAAACCCTGCCCTTCGCTGAACAGCGATGTGTATGCATTTGGGGTCATTCTGCTGGAGCTCCTAGCCGGTAAAAGCTCTGCAGATATAGTCCCATGGGAACACGGAGTAGTTGATTTGACAGATTGGGTAAGGGTATTAGCTGAAGAGAGCCGTGGCAACGAGTGCTTCGATAAGCAGCTAATCGACACGCCTCATAGAGAGGAGTCACTCAGAGTCGCCAACCGAATGTTAAGCATCGGACTGAGGTGTGTCGCATCTGCAGCCGAAAGGCCTGACATGAAAACAGTTTTTGAAGATCTGTCAGCCATAGCTTCGTGAAACCGCCCCCCATCCTTCTGAAGTAAGCATGATCACTCTGACCCCCTTTCCCCCCCCTCCATTGTTGCTAACCCCACCAAACTTATTGGTTTTCACCACCATGTTCTTTCTTCCTTAGCTTCATTTGATTTGCTTTAAGAGGCAGGCATATGATTGTTTGTGAATTAGCAGTACAGCTGCTTGCTTGTTTGTTGGCTGTGAATAGTTGGTGTTGATTATTTCTTCCTTTCTGGGTTCTGGTTTTGTGTGGGAGAGAAATTAAGATGCTTTCTCTTGGGATTTGCTGGTTTTGAGTAGATATCATGATTCCTTGTTCTACTGCTACTAGCCCTTTGTTTATTACTACCTCTCATTGCAAGATACTTTGTTCATACAATCCAAGTTCGGCTCTTGTTAGTTTCTATCCAAACTTTTGCCCTTTGTCATTTTTCTGCTACAGTTACAGTTGATTGATGTGTCACCCTTGAGGTTGAGGATCTAATACACGAAAAAAAATGGGAATAGGAGATTTCGTTTTCCATGCGGTGATCAAATGACAACTGCCAAACAATGCTTTATATGGGAACCTTGTTTTGTTTCCCCGTAACGTGGCGGGGATGAATGAACTTCTGAGCTGTTAGTTGGCTGTAACGGCTTTCCCCAAGTAGCCTTCAGCTCGCTTGGGACGCGTTTGGCAGAGACGGAAACCAATGAAAGGCGTGCTCGGGTTTTCTACGCGGTCCGGGTGACGTGGAACCTGGGAAAAAGTCCGACCCGGGAAAAAGTTTTATCAAATGAGTCGTTTTGTGGAGTAAAATTGTCCAAATCATCGTACCATGAAAAGCTAAATAGTGGGTATGATGTCATAGGGATTAAGATCCTTGATTATTAGATTATTACTTATAATGTTTTTTTAAGGAAGAACCGTGTGATGCCAATTGCCAACTCTTTCCAAAACACCCTAAAGAAAAAAAAGATCTCTACGATTTTCCCAAACCTGCGACTCCAGCAACGACATATTTTCTCTTCTCTCTGATCTGATCTGATCAGACCGTTTCTTCTCTGCCAACAACTTCTGAGAATCAAAAGGCCATGGAATCACAAATTTAGGTTGTTTTTATCTCCGCAACATGTGAATAGTAAGTAAAATTAACTACTACGTTGGACTTTTGATGGAGGCACGGGTAGGAGTTGAAGAAATTTTAGTAAGTTTAGTCGAATAGGTCAATTAGGATTTTATGTTAGAGTCTATGTATTGTCGTTTAACTATTTCTCTCGGAATCAATCAATAGATAAATCATCAAAGTGTCATCAAGTTATCCCCATCTCCTTTTCCAGTCCCTAATTCTGTTATGTTCTATCTCAAAACCCTAAGTATCTTCTATTCAATGTCGAATTAAAATCTCCAGTACCCTTCATCAGTGTATAAACTTTGCATTCCTAAGTACGATGAATTTCCCATTCCAGATATAACGGCCGAAATCTAACATAATTCATGTATGTCATGCTCGTTTGTTATGTGACGTTATCTAACGTGCTCTTATAATCTTTTATACAATATTTTAATACTTTCGAGACATTTTTACTGAGAGATATGCTCTCTATAGTTAAATTTCTATCTTGACTGGAAGTAATGAAGATGATTTGTGGGTCATTTTTATTTTTACCATTTAATCTAATTTTTCGTCATACATACGACATTAATGTAGAGTCTGATTCGCTGATTCAACTTATCTAAAACTCGTATACAAATTATAAAAAACACCCACCTAAACCCTATTACAAAATGATTTGACCATAGATGCAACTCCAGCAACAGCGTGTTCAATGCCCTACGCTTCTCTGCATAATTTTCTACATTTTCACTATACTACTAACTCCATCATTTATGAAACTTCGTCCTCGGTGTGAAGAGAAGTGGTCAAGTTGGTTGTAGCAATGTAAAATGAAAAAGGATTAAAGTGGGCTAATAAATAAGTACGCATCCAAGAAACACCCATTCTGTCCCCTGTTTTTCTCTGTTTTCTACAATATACTCGTTTGGTTTCTCCTCCGGCACTCCATTTCACAATCCACAGTTGTAAATGGTCTGGATCAAGTGTTTTTGACATTAAAATAATGAACTGGACTCGACCAAGTTACTTGCTTTCGTCACCCGGCCAGACCAAATCGGATCCATATATATAAATCTGCAAAAATCCAAAATCTCTGTCTCCATTCTCTTCCCCTTCTCCCTCTCTCCCTCTCTCTCTCTCTCTCTCCTAGTCTCTGTTCTCTCATCCCAACTCTGTCTTCCTCCTTCCATTTCTCTTCTTGTTCATATTACCAAAGCATTCCCCACATTGCTGAACCACGGAGCAAGAAGAAGCAGAGGATTAAGGAGGCGCCGTACCATTTTTAGTGACGAACAGAGACGATCAAACCCAATAGGACTCCGCCGCCGGCGAGCTTCTCTCAGGTAATACATACAACTTTCTGGCTTCATTTCTTATGTGGGTTTGAACTAATTAGTCTTGGGGATGTTAATTCGACTCATGTTGATTGATTGAAATTAATCGAAATGTTGATCGAATGGTTTTTTTATCAATACTACTGGGTTAGACTCTGTTTCGTTAGAGTAAAAAACAGGGGTTTTCACGGCTAAAACAATTTTTGCTCGGGACCGTCACAATATCTGTCCGCCGTCACTAAAGGAGCTAGGTCGTCGTCGTATTCGAACTAAAACGGGCCTCAATCATGCAACAAAAAGTTGAAACTCGTGCCTAACAATAAAACAAATTTCATTTTTATCGAAACAAAATGACTTTGCATCAAAAGAAATTTTAGTTATACGATTACCAACGATTCCATATTTTGTAGTTTTAATTTAGTGCTTAGGATTATGAGATTTGTTGGTATTAGGCAGCCAGCTTGCTTGCATCTCTACGTTGCTTGATGTCTCTATCTAATTCCTTGTGGATTAGTTCCAATATTGAGATTTGAGAAAGAAAGGAAGTGACCGTTTCTCCATCAACAACGGGTCTTCGATTTTCATGGGTTATTTTTATTAGGGTTTGGTTCTTGTTTTGTTACAGATTTCATATCATAATAACAACCACCTACTTTGACGAGAACGTGATTTCCATTACTAATTGAGCAAATCAAAGGATTGTTTTTCTTTCTTGATTTATTATAGGGAATTGATGAAAAACAATCCACTTCTCTCGAAATTAATTTTTGATTATTGTCGATGATAAAATTAGAAAATTTTGTGCCAATTTTGAGATGATAATATCGGCTACTGGCTTGTGATTTTGAACCATCTGAAGTCATTAATAATATAGAGAAAAAACATTCCCCATACGTAACATGCTGGTAGAATTATAACCCCAATAATAATAAAAAATAAAGGTTAGATTCATTATTTTATTTTGTAAACTAAATATTCCTAAGATTAGTAAGCTTATTATTCTTAAAACAAGCATTGTAATTAGTTTTAATAATATTTACTCCCAACTTAAAATTACAAAAAATCCCATTTCTTGTCATGGTTCCAGTTGGCCAATATCCCAAAAAATATTACTATTACACGCAAAAGACACTTTCTACTGTTTTTTCTTACTTTTAATTAATCATTTCTTAATCCTCATTTCAATTCTTTTATCTCCTTTCTCCCTGCAGACTTCACCCCTTTTCCCCCTCACGCTTTCTCTCCCCGTCGCCGGCAGCAATGGCGGACGCCGAGGGAGCCCCGCCGCGATACTCAACTTCCACCGACGAGACGCGCACCACGTCACGCACCACGAGCTGCTCCACCCAGACCACCACCACGACCGTCACGACCGATCCCGGCTCTCCGACGACCAAGCTCCTCAAAGCCGCCCTCCCGGCGCGGCCGGGAACCTACGTCATCCAGATCCCCAAGGACACCATCTACAAGATCCCGCCGCCGGAGAACGCCAAGCGATTCGAGCAGCTCACAAATAAGAACCCCGGCGGCGGCCGCAGCCGCCGATGCTGTGGCGGCGGCGCCCGCCTCTGGCTCTGGGCGTCAATTTCCTTCTTCGCCGCCTTCCTATTCCTCATCGCCACCGGCGTCGGCGTCTTTTACCTCGCCGTCCGGCCGGAATCCCCTCGATTCGTGATCCAATCGGCGTCGATCGAGGGGTTCAACTCATCTGGACCGATCTCCCCAAGATTTGAACTCGCCGTCGCGGCTCACAACAGAAACAAGAAGATGGGCGTGCTCTACCAGCAGGGGAGCTCCGCCGCCGTGTACTACAACGGAATCGAGCTGGTGGCCGGCTCGATCCCGGCTTTCGAACAGGGGAAGGACGAGCTGACGAGTTTTAAGACGGCGTTGAAAGGGGAGGGGATCGTGCTCACGAGCGCCGTCCGGCGGTCATTGAGCGACGGCGAGAACAGAGGCACGGTGCCGTTTCGGCTGACGGTGACGGCGCCGGTTAAGTTTAGGTTAGGGGCGGTGAAGTCGTGGACGGTTACCGTGAATGTTGACTGTGAGTTGACAGTGGATATGTTAACGGAGAATGCGAAGATCGTTTCACAGAAATGTGATTCAAGCGCCAAAATCTGGTAGACGTTACCAAACAAGAAAAAAGGAAAAAAAAGAGTTAGGGAGTGTTTGATTGTATAGAAAGTTAGAGCATAAAATTAATTTAGGAGGATGGGTTTAATTTATTAATTTTCCTCTCTTCCCTAATTCTAATTCATTTTCCTTCTTTTTTTTCCCCATATACATACTCTTTATTTTTTTGTTTATTTTCTTTTACTTTTGGTCTTTGTTTTTATGAGTAGGAGGTGAAAATTTCAAATATTGAAATGTAATCCCGGAATTAAATTTTGTTTCTGGATGGATTACGACGAGATGAGATGTGTACAATTGATGAGTGATGTAATTGTAAATGATACTTTTCGGATGTTGAGTATTGCAATTTTTTTTTATTTTCGTGCATTTTATAATGTTTAACATGTCTCTATCAATTTTAATGGTCAATAACCGTTTTATTACAAATACTAGTCTCCATAAACAATTTCTCACGATACACACTTTGGGCACGCTAGTTGGATATTCTCATTATCAGAAGACAGGATGCTAACTAACGTATAATCTCTTATATGTTATGAATGCAATATCTTATCGGAAGAGGCAACAAGATATTGGTCTTGGAAGTAGATAGATTCCAGAAAATAATAACAGCCGTCCATCCAAAATATTTCATCGTCAAATGTGTCAGACCTAAAAATATGTCAGACCCACACGACTGTCACGATCATCATCGTCTCGATTTGGAATATACATGAGCCGATTGGGTGAGTTTTGACCTTTTTTAATACTTTGCGCCCAAGCTATCCTTAGCTATATATTCAACCGTTCTACATGTTTCAAATTAGTCAATCCGATTCACTTCAGGATTGGGTTACGTTGTCCCAAAATGAGCCGGAATGTCGATCCTTCTCTATAAATACTGTACACAGCTAGCGAGCTAGCTATCAACACGAAGAACCAAAAAGTTCCCAAGGAAGAGATCGAGATCATCAAAACAGTTCCTTGTGACAGAAGAAACAGATGGAGATTATAAAGCGGCAGGTCGAAGCGAAGTACCAAGAGCTTCGTGTGAAGTTTCTCGAGGTATTTAACGGGGAATTCACTCAGAAGTATGATCTGATCGCCCTGAAACGTCTTTTCCTCGAGCATGATGCGAAACAACTGCTGGGCGTGGACGAGGCCGACCCTAGGGTTCATGAGTTGGTCATCCGGCAGCAGCAGCTTGCTCAGGAGCTTGCGGATCTCGATGGTGCCATCATTGCCAGGTTTGCCCCCGTGAAAGATGTCATCTTTCGCGAAATCGATGCGATTCTGAACCAAGCAGCAGCAGCAGCATCAGCTGATGATGCTAATGCTGCCCATTCGGAAGTGCTTCAAGCTGAACTCATGGAGCTGCGGAAACAGGTGGATGCAATTCGGAACGAAGCAGCTGCTGCTTCGATTAGCAACGATCTCAGCCGCCTAACGATCTGACATTACATTATGCGCTTTTCTTGTCATGTCTTACAGCTATTTGATGATGTCTGATGAACATGTATCTAGAAGTTAAGTAACAATTTTTGTACAAAGTACTGATCTTTGAGGGTCTGCTCACTGCTGGGTTGGGTGATTCATTGATTGAATATGATATTTTGCTGCTTTGGTTGAGACTCCATGTAATCTTCACCAGCTAATTAACATAGATAGATAGTTAAACTTCACAGAACGATTGAGATCCTACGAAATCCTTGGATTCTGAAGTACATGGATTTCGTATTGGAACGATACAACAAGACGATGTTTTTATTGTAGAAAATCATGCATTCAGAGTCACATGGGACAATTGCCCTGACCCTTGTTCTTGATGTCAATACCAAAACCAGAACCCACGATCTGTCTACTGTGATGAGAGCCTAACTGAATTAGGACAAACAAAAATGGTTCTCTGGAACTCAAACATAAACTAAAAGGTATGAATTCTACTCCATATAGTTTCTATCCTGAAGTGGGAGGGAGGGAGAAGAAATAACTATACAGTTGGTTCCCTGATACTTTCAATTCTGTTCTGTATATATTCCACCACCATCAGCCAATTAATGGAATCACTTCACAAACCCATCAAAAAATCCCCCTTTCCCTCCCTTTGATATCCAAAATTGTGTTCATCTTCACCTTGTCCATCAGTATTATTCTCCCCCTCTCAAATTCACTACCACTACTATTCTCTCTCTGCCTCCATGTACCCTTTTTATTATCGCCTTTTTCACCATGTACAACAAGATCCCACATCCAACTCACAAACTTCTGTACCTTTCTGAATCCTCACCCAGCCAGGAGACTACCCAGTTTGAGTCTGCATTTGCGAGTTCACCTCGAACTGATGCTTTGCATTCTGGATCGCCTTTTCGACCTCTTTATACATGTTCGCCGACAATTCTGCAAACTTGCTGAGCTGGCCGATGAACCCCTCCAAGCTCGACCTGAATCGCTCAGAACCACGAGGACCGCCATCCTCATCTGCTGCCACATCATCACTCCTGTTGTCGTTGTCGCCCTTCCACGATGGTGGTAAATTGGTTCTTGTGGTCATCTTCTTCCCTTGCTTCCTCTCATGGTGAGGTATGAACCGGCTTGTCTCGGTGGTCAGACCTTTTATCGAGTCCGCTACTTCTCTGGCTGGTAAAGACTCGAGCTTGTCAAGCCATACCCCACATGTGGCGTAGATTGGGGCGCCAAAGTGTCTCAATGTGGAGGAAGGGTTTGGGGCTCGCTTATTACGCCGGGAGTTTTTCTCTGGAAGCACCACGCATGTGAATAACCAGTCATTGATGGACTTGAGGTAGGATTTTTGGGTATTCGTCCACTTTGTGAATGTCGATGACAGTGAGCTGAGCTCGGTTTCTAGGTGGAGAGTGATCTGGCGGCGAGACTCGGACTGCAGGGAGATTTTGGCGTTCGTGTTTGCTATGGTGATGATTGTGTACTGCAGTTTGTGGCATTCGAACATCACTTCCCACATTCGACTTAGCCTGCAAGGAAATACGATTCAATATGACAAGCAGAAGATAGAACATAAAACATGGACACTTGGACAGCATTGAATACCATGTACAGATGATACTGCAGCAACCTAATGTCAGAACAATAGTGCTCAAGATGAAGTCGAAATCTGATACATACCCCTGAATCAACTCCTCGAGTTGTGGTTGAAGCTCTTTGTCACGTAATTCCTCAATCCTCTTTGAAATGGAATCGATTCTTTGAATAGCTACTATGATTCTCGAATGTAGATCCTTAACATTGGCACGGGTTTTATCGATTCTATACGAACTTTCATTTTTTGATTCCAGCTGTCTTAAGAACCTGCATTTAGCGTCATATTCCCTCCTCACCATTTCGCTGGCCTGAAATGTGGATTACAACATTTCATTTTCCTATAATTTCTAAACAACTTCCACCAAGTGATATACACCAGACATAAATAGAATGAATAAGAACCACCCTACCTTTACTTCATCATAAAGTTTTCTCTCCCAAGCGTGCAGTCTATCCAACGTTGAAGCATGACTGCCAGAGATCATACAGAAATTTTCGAAGAGATTACCAGCAAGATCCTCTCCATCATCTTTAGAATTCACTCCGAGAGGATTTCTAGATGATGATGATCGTGATGAAGTTGTCCTATGCCAAGTCAAGTACTTTACAGCATCTTGAACGGGTTCTGTAGAAGCCATCAGGAACAATTTAGCCAGTAACCATGGAAAGCATTCAAAAAAAGAATTAAACTACCTTTTCTTCTAAAGAGAAGACAACCACCCAAACAGCGAAATGTCAACTATCAAATCATAAGGTCGCTTCTTTGCCATGAAGAACCCAATAACATCCCCATAACATATAGCAGAAACATGATTTACGCCAAAAATAAAAAAGCTAACCTTCTGGCACATGGGTAGGATCATCCCCACAAGATAAACATGACTTCAGAAAAGTGGAAGCCACTGACCCATCTGTGTCAATGCAGAGTATTGTTAGTTAAGAGGTTTTCCACACTGGAATCCAAGAAATGGAAGTCAACTAGTTTTTCAAGGTCATAATATCTCTCACTTCATCTAAACAAACAAAAACAGAGAACAGAAATCATACTATCTTTTGTTGCAGCTATGGGACGGAAGTGAAATTTATTTGCTTCGAGCATCCTTGGAACTTCTTTCCCAGACTCAGAAGCCTTTATAAACAGATACTCAATATCCCTCATGCTCGAAAAGAAGTCTTTAGGAGCAACCTTGTTTTCATTCTGATCTTCTTTCACAGGTGTTTTCTTTTTCTCAGCTGAAACAGCAACAGCTGAGGAGGGAGTTCTTAGCGGGGATAAATAAGGCGAGTTACTCTTCTCCCCATTCAACAGCTCTCCTTCGGAAGCTACACTTCCTGCAGAAGGCACGGTAGGCGAAGCACTGACATGATCATGCATCCTGTTGACGTTCTGATAACTCCGCACAAGTCTCTCGGTGGGAGGAGGGTCATCATCAAATCCATCTTCAGAGTCATCATATCCATCATCACTCTCACGAAACGAAGCCTTATTTTCTTCCTCATCTTCCAGCTCAGGAATCCCCTCCTCCTCCCTAAGCCGTGCCATGTCATCACCACGCTCAAAGCCATGGCTATTTCCATTTTCCTTCCCATCTTGGGAAGAGAACTCATTGTCGATTGGATGAAAAAGCTGAAAGTAATCCCATTGCGGAGTTCCAGGCGTAACAGATGGGGGAGGTTCGAAGGGCGGTGATGCGTCTGGCTTTTCAGCGGACCGTGGTGGTGTTGCATCCAGTGGGGTGCTTGAAGAGGTCACTGTGGCTGTGACGGCAACAGGAGGCTTCTCTTCCACCTTTCTAGAAGGAAAACCTTTGAACTTCATATGGTGAACCTGAAACCTACGAGAGCTAGGGGGAGTGGGGGATCTAGAGAGGTTTTCATTTGTTCCATCCCCAGGATGTGATAGAGATGGTGAAGAGAGGGAGAAGTGTGAGTAGGACTTCTCGGTTACAACATGTGGCTCCGGCGTTGCACTCGTCGAGGTGTAGAGTGATGATTCAGTTGGAAGAAGATCTGGTTCAACGAATCTTCTTAATGCAATTCCTGTAGTTTTTAGGGACTGAATGTATGCAATATGAGCAGCAGCAAGTGAGCATCTACCATCAAGTGCTTGCCTGACGAATTTCTTTCTTGCGCGACAAAGCTGTAGAGCTTTATCTTCTTCTACTTTAGAGTTTGAAGCCCCCATTTCCCGGATGCCCAAACAATCAGTTCATACGTTTTCCCTGAAAAAAAAAACAAAAAGAACATTCCCATGAATGAAACCATGTAGAGATGGTTTGCCAAACAAGAACCAGAACATCTAATATCAAAAGATCAATCACCCCAGACAGAGAATACAGACATAAATTAACAAACCAGATCAAACATTGAGAAAGAAGTTATGAGTAAAATAACACAATCCCAAGATATCAAGCAAGGCTAAGGGAACACATTATGGAAGAGAAATGATGCTTCTACCAAGCAAGTTTGGCAGAGCTCAATTCCATCTTTCTCAAGCTGTCAATACTGAGAGGATCCCTAACCAGAGAATGTAATAAATTTGGAACTGCTATATAGAATAATAAAGCCTCGAACTTTGACCTTAATTCTGAAATTCTGTACAAACTAGCTCTAAAGTCAAGTTCCTTGGACCAAAAAGAATGCATATCCAAGTTCAATTCGGTTGTCGACAGAAACTAGAAAGTTGCTAACTTTCACAAACCGAATATTAGACAACAAAGGGAAAACAAGAACCAGCAACAGCCTAGAGGAGAACAAAATATTCATACTTCAATTCCTTATATGAATTACTAAACTATAGACTGGGAGAAGCCTAAAATCTCAATAGTCCCATAATTTTTTTTTTTTTGGAAAACTCTTATGCAAAGCGAAGTCCAGAAGAATCACAAAACGCCCAAATCATTCACTACCCAAACCGGAATCACCAACCACCACCAAGTGAGACAAAACTAAACCCCAGCTCTTCCAAATTCATACGGAAAGAGATGAAAAATCCACACATACCAAACGCGAGAGCAAACTAACCAAAAGAAGAATCAGAAAGAGAGAGCTAACAGCAGAACAGAAACCCTTTTATCTTTCTGTGACAGCTCACCTGAGAAATTGGAGGCAGGGGAAAAGCAAATCAAGCGATTCCGAGACCGACCCAGTTGAGATTAGAGCAAGGAGACGAGAAGCACCGATCCCCCCTTGACTTGGGTCTTGATTGAAATTCGAGAAAGGAATGAACTTCGGGAAGAAGAAAGCCGGCAGAGAATGAAAGCGAGAGGCAGAGAGAGAGAGAGAGATGGACTAAGTATCAAGTGTGGTTCTGTGAGCAGTCAAAAGTGATAATAAATTAATATTCTGATAATAATAAATGGGATGGAAAAACGCCAATGAGAATGAGATGATGATGAAGGAAGGAAGGAAGAGAAGACGGAGAGAGAGATGGTGGAAATTTGTTCGTTTGGGGAATCTGCTGGATGTGCATCCAGTTCCATTCCATGCAAGAAAAGGCAAAAGAAAAGTTTATTTTGAGAGGGAAAAAAAGGACAGGTTTTTCTGGGAAAGTGGGTCCCCGCCACCGTCTCCCCACGATCTCCCGCCGAGACGGTTAATGCGGAGGCGACGAGCAATTTGCGCCACCGCATTCCGCCGTTTGCTCAATTGCTTTCAGTGATCCAAAAAGAGGAACCGCCACCGCCCACCAAAATTGGAAGTGCCGTCCAACTTATACTCAAGTCAACTAGCAGGGCGGTCCGGCCGATGGGTTTAACCCACGGATTTCGGTTAAAATTTATAAATGGGTTAACCCACATGTATTTAGATTGTCGAGTCAACTTCGAATTTTCAAGAACTTAAGGGTTAGATCTTTGAACGTCGATTGTCATTGATTTGAGCTAATGCTTATAATAGAGTTATATTGATTATGCCGACTTGAGGACACCATTGAATGATTATGTTAACATGAGTGACTAGAAAAAAATCTGTTTGACCTCGATGATTATCAATGAACTCAAAAAAAAAAAAAATTGTTTCAACATCCGTAACACACAACCTTCCTTTTCCTTCTATCGAAAGCGCTATAAAGACGACATGAATGAAACCATTAAAGACTATGATCATAATCCACAAAAGCTAGCCTTTACAACCCATGGAACATGGTGGTATGTTAGAGCATGTTCCTTTTTTTTCTTTCCTTGATGGAGAAAGCCTAACATCTTATGTACATAATTATAAAACTAAAGTAGAGTAAATATGCACGTAATTGAACATAATTTAAGGGCGTGTTTGTACAAATTTATTTTATAAGTAAAGTCGAAAAATAATTGTTTTCTAAGTTTCATACAATTGGAAGCTTAAAAACTATGAGAATGAATGAATTAAGGTTTGGTTAGAATTTCACGATTTTCATTTATACTTTAATTTGACTATGTATTTGTGATCTAGTGGAAGATATCTATTTCTATGAAAGTCAGCTTCAATAATTCTACATAAATTGCTTGCAAGATTGACGTATACTTCAAACTTAACGTTATTAACATGATTCGGTAGGGATTGGGATACTTAACGAATGTGATTAAATATATTTGCATGAATCATGATGGATTTTGGGTGGATTGAGTAGCTAAAGTCAGACTATTGTGCTCTATAAAACATTAACATTAGTTAGTTATAGGATATTGTTTTTTTTTTTTTCATTGCTGAGAAGTTTGTTTCCTTCCAAAATAATCATGTTTGCTCAATTGATTGCGAAGATTAATCGGTAACCATCATAGTTTATAGAAGAAAGATGATCAGTGTTATCGTTGCCGCGAGCTCGCAGAATAAAAGCGTTATTCAAAATGCACTAATTAAAATATGGCATTTTACACCCTAGTTAGTCGCCATCAATCACATACGCTCTTCGGCCTTCGCATCCCGGTTATCGCGATCTTGTAAAATGAGTAAAGTCACTAACGAACCATGACAACCTTGATCGTGTCTCCCTATCGACTTTTCAGAAAATTCCGATGGAGAATGGAGATCAAAGAAGATGTGTGAGACACTAATCCCATATCCAAAAAAACACCATAAACATAAAGCCATCGATTGATCAACATACTTACATTGATTGTCTTGCTTTGGTAGGAAAGATTCGTAAGCTTTTGGCGTACAGTAGTAGTGAGATTTCAGTATACCAGAATAGATTTGTAAAGCGTGGAGGCTGCAGAAAGCTAAGCAGGGGATTTGAGGTGTTAAGCAGGCGATCGAGATTCGATACCACACCAGAAAAATACATTAGATAAGTAAAGCTATTTGCCATGCATGTTACTTGTATATTTATATTATTGAGGATCCAAACTCCAAAGCCTTAACAGCTAGATCCTTCTTCTATCTATCACCCAATTCCTTTTTTTCACCCTCTAGCTGTTTAGTCAGTCTATAGAATCTCCCATCTCTTCTTTTATTGAATCTTTAACGAGTCACTCCTGATGATATCGTACTTGTTTCGCGTCAGCCAGGAAATCGAATAAGATATGTATCTGGAAACTTATCGATAATTTGAGTTATTCGGCAAACTTGTTTTTACAAATTCTCGTCATAACATTCTCATAAAAAGTAACCCAAAGCATGATATTTTGCAACCTATCTGGTCCTAATAATACGAATTAGTGGAAGAGGCCCAACGATGACGACGATGGATGGATGGCCTTAGTTAATTATATTTGGATTCAAGTAGAAGTGAGTGGCTCCAGTGAGCTATGCTAATCCAAAGGAGAGGCAGAGATTGAAAGATACCTACACCCTTTGAGATTATTATTTGGGCAGTTGTCATTGTATAACCTAAGGCAGAAAGGAAAATATGCCTAACTTGTCGTGCGAGTATTTGCTTTTCCAAGAGAAGCAAGACTTGCCCTATACAGCCATGGCTGAAGCCATTTCCTTTCATGGTGAAAAGGAAACAGCACATGAAGTCATGACAATAACTATAAGCCATAGGATGTGAGATTCTCCCAAAATTGTAAGATTCCACTATTGTTGTGAGAGATCACATCGAATTCGATTCGTATGAAAAGGGATCAAACACCTAAAATCTCTGGTGAGAGAACACAACTTTTTTTTGTATGAACAAAGAAATAACAAGTAGGTGATGATGATGAACAAGTAGGTGATGAGATGAAGAGAAGAAATAACACATAAAATAAGCAAGTTAGGGAAAGAAGATCATAAGAAAAAGGATAGGAAGAGGACATAAATCAAACCTCAAAGTGGGATCCAGGTCATGAAAGAACATCTTCCCTATCCCCTTTCCAACAGTGTTAATTAGGTTATAGACTTTATATTGGCCACAAAGCACATTTGTCAGTGGCAGTCGACAAGCAAATTTGGCCCTATTCTACTCCTATTTGCTTTATGACGCATAAACAAGTTGATATTTTGACAAATAATCATAGGCTTTCTCCCTTACACTAATCACTTGCCCCTCTACTATACACCGCGCGTCTTCAACAAGGTCCATCCCTCGACGAGAACAGCCACCAACAGCACCAATATACAGTAAAATGCGGTGGAGGGTTCTGTTTTCTCTAGTTTGCTCACTGGACTGCACACAGAAGAAGATGGGAAAAAAACAGAACAAATTACCAACTGGCTTAATCAATCACTGTTCCGCGGGGCAACATATCGCGGCGCAGCACTCGAAGCAGCCGAAACACGATAGAGCCATGCAGAGCTGGGTCAAGGCTACTGCACATTGGTTGTTCATTCTGGAACAGCACTGGACGCAGCACATGCAGCAGCAGTGGCCGTACAACCTCTCGCAGCAGTTGGAGGCCGCCTTTATCATCATCTCGGCTGCCTCTGGCAGCCTCGGTTCCTCGGTCCCTGGCGGTATGTTCTCCATGGTTGCTGTCAAGCTTCCGAACCCGATCCCCAGGCTTGGCAGCATTACTCTCCTCTGAGTCTTTGTTTCTTCCTTCTCCGCGTTGGCTTTCTTTGATCCCTGTTTTTGTGGTTTATTAATCTTAGCGACTGGAGATAGAACACAGCTGTACTTACGGTGTCAAAGATGGTATTAATTATTACCTTGCGCCCAGCAGGCGGTTCGGCGGATTGGTACACTCTCTGCGTTTCCAATATCGACATGCGTGTGTATTCAGATGCAACTCCTGTTTGTATGCTGATTTGGGAAACCTGCCAGTGCCAGGTACCATTAGAGTTCACGATCACTAGGATAGTAGTATGCATATCAAGGTGGTGGCCATATATATATGTCTATAGAAGGAAGAGGATGATGAAACACAGCTTATACCTTCTCCTCTAGCTGTTTACTTGTTGAAAACCATGCCTGGGCCGTTAGTATATCAATCTGCTGCTTTGCAAATACCTATAGCAGGCCAAAATCATTAAGCGTCAATCAAATGCAACTAGCCGAACTTTTGGAGCTGTTTCCAGATGTACATTTCATCCATCTCAATCCAGAGTGGGAAAATGGAAACATAAAGCACCTCCAACACCAGTACAAACAAAGCCACAATCTTCTCTTGCTTGATTAGAGAATGCATACAAAATACAAGATAAAAGAACCTAAATAAGAATCAAGTCCTCGACTAACAATTTTATCAATCATCTAGAACGAATTGTATGCATGAGTTGCCAATAGTCAATTAGCTTTATGATGGCTAAAGCTTTCCCTTCAGGCTAAAGGATTTTAAAAGAAAACAACTCACCCATGCAAAGCTACTTGAAACCTGTAGGCTCTAACAGCCCTCTAACGTACGATAACCATATTACAGCATTAAGAACTTGAGGAGATGCACCAAAGTTCACAATATGTTGCAAATAGAGCTGAACAAAATATACAAGGGTGAGTTATTTTCTTTACCTTGTCCAAAGGAACGTCCTTCGCAGTACGTGTCTTCAAGTCCACAACAAATTTACTGAAGTCCCCTAAAACACCTTCAACTCTCACAAACTCCGGTAAATTTCCAACATACCTACCAGATATGGTCCACAGTTCTTCACATGAAAGATCTCGGAGTCGGGAAGGATATGTCTGTTGCAAGAAGATGGGAGAACCATAAAATGATAGCTAAAAAGCTCCATGCAATAAAAAGAAAACAATAACTAAGGATGTTTTTCATATTGAAAACAAGCAGACAGAGTTTTCAAAGTCGATGAATAATGCATAAATAATAAATGGACCAATGTTGCCAATCCACCAAGTTCATTTTCCCCCCCGAATAGATACCACCCTGAATTTGTTGACAATAACAAAACCACCTAAATCAAAAGGGGGTAACAAACAAGCTTAAACACAGGCGACACATGAGAAAAGTCTAGGATCCACCAAGGCATCATCAGTTGTACAACTAAAGGCTACTGCGAATGCAGAAAAGATAAAACTTATAGATTCCCGAAGCACAGACGCTGATCTATCGGGAAAATATAAGGGTGGGTGAAACCACTACATTTTCATGATAAGGTGGATTAGCTTCAATCATACCTCAACTTCATTATCCACTGCCTCCAGTGATATATTGGCAAGAACAGTAGACAAACCTCTGCTGAAGAAACTTTGCAGTCTAGTCTCGATGGAATCTGATCAAAGATGATAAAAAAAAGTTACAAATATCGATAACAGTAAGAAACTACAACTTAGAATTCAAACATATGTCTTCAAGAAATTCAATATGCAATGAAAGAACCCCTGGAGTCAAGACCATGTTTCATGACGCAAGTACATAGTCAAGATTACACTGCCATACTACCTCCAACCATAAACTTTGAAGATAATATGTAGCAAGAAGTACCAAATTGTAGCTACTTAGTGAGAGTGAAACAGTAATAAGAAGTAAGAACCTTGGACTCACCTACTTCATAAGCAGCATCATTTCCTCCTCTGCCAAGGATTGCAAGCATCCTCAGAAAATGATGATTGCAGTACAACCCTGGAACATGTGGTGCACGAAAGTTACAGATTATAAAACTGAAATGAAAATATGAAGGCTGAATTAAACAACTTAAAAAAACATCACAAAAAAGAAGCTTCTCTTCAATGAAAGAAACGACAAGGAAAGGGGAATAGGAGTACAAAATAAGAGTTTACCAATGCCAAAAGTGTGTATCCGTGGAGATATTGTTCCCCCAAAAGTTTGTCGACTTTTAATTACTTCACAAATGTGTCTTTCATCTTCAACAGTCCCATCAGTCACAAGGAATATGAGAGGGATTGCACCACTACTGTTGGAGACCATCTCTATTGCCTGAGAGGATGAAAGAAATCGATATTACTGTTAAACAATATACCATCTTGAACACATTGCAAACCAACAATTAACAAAAAGGGTATCAACATACATAGAAACACCACAATGCTTGGAATAAGAAGGACAAATCACCTTATCTAGGGCTTGTGATATATTTGTACTCCCACCGGCTAAAAAGTTTGAATTAATCCATTGGCAAGCCTTCTCGATTGTGTTTTCAGTTGCAGCTTCCAAGAGTGATGAAAAGACATAACTCTCTCCATTGAAAGCTATTATATTGAATGAATCCTTAGGTTCAAGCTTGTTGAGGGTAGTACACATTGCATTCTTCGTAGCCTGAATTGGCTTTCCTTCCATGCTTCCACTTATATCAATAACAAATACGACCTCTCTTCTGAAGACCTGTCAAATTGAGGGAAATGAGCACACACCACTAGAAAGACATGTTAAGCCTCACAGTCATTTATCAGATTACGATCAAGTTAAACTGACCTTCATGCTCTGCCTGCTTCCAGGAAAGAGGTACACAGAGAACATCTCTCTTTGATCAGCATCATGCACAGATGGTGATTGCAAAAGCAAACCACCAAATATATGGCTTGACGAGACCTAACATAACAAGGGATTGAAATATCAAGTAATAGAAACAGCCACCTTAAGCAAACTTCACTATGAATACTAAATATTAAGCAATTTTTTTTCTAGCAGTTATCAGTTTCATGTCCTATAAAGTGAAGCTTACCGCATACGAGAAATTGAAATCATTGTGTGTCCAAATGAGAACTTCAGTTTCATAAGCGAAAGACAACTTCCCGGATTCTCTTCTGACTTCCTGAAGACTTGGAACATAAAATAAAATTAAAAAAATCGATACCAATTACCCAGTCCAAGTTAAGTTCACTTAAAGAAGGCCGGTTAAGGGTACAACCTTCAAAGGATGACTGGTATATTTGCATACAATCTCAGTTCCAGAACCAGAGTTCACATTCAAGAGTATCTTCTCCTTCTTGGGTAGCTTCTTTGCAAATGGAGTGACATACTCTGGGAAGCTAAATGGAACTCCTATCGAAAATTCTCCATTCTTGAATACTGATTTCTGCATCCAACTAGCTCTAACTGAAAGTATGGCACCCCCATCAACCTAGACAGGTATAAAAATCAAGTTCTATACAACAAAACATGCCACGATGAAACAAAACATTTTTACCCCAGAACACAGTTGACAAGAAAGAAGCTCCCCCTACTTACCTTTGGGATTGTGAGTGTAAATATGTTGGGTTTGAGATAGCTGCCATTTTCAGGGCGGACTTCTTTATCCCCATCCTTGTTGTCTTCTGCTGCAATTATCTCAGTAGAATATGACTTCATATGAACCTCCACCTCGACACCTAGAATTGAACCCTGTTAGCCAAATGTTAATAATATTACTTGAGAAAGAAGAAGAAGCAGAATCAAGACATTGAAATTAAAGCCCACTTCCCTTGTAGGAAACAACTCGAGGGGCACAAATAAACAAAGAACCGACCTGTTCGCCCATAGGAAGGGCAATACGGCAATCGCAGCTCTTGCTTCCCATGATACAATGAACCCGCCAGGATCCGATTATTTGGACGAAGACATTGTCGAAGAAGCAATCAGCCTGAAGTTCGATCCGATTCATCTGGAGCGGGATGAGAGCTGGGGGATCGCACCTACCATGCACGTGAGGCTGGTAGCTAGGTATGTCAGGGTTATCGACGATACCGGGGTTGTTGATAACGGCGTAGACCATGGGCGACTTCGGGAGGAGAGCGTCCATTAGGGATTTGTCCATCATCACCGGAATGTTGGGAGGAGCTACGGCTCTGTCCTTGCCGAAGTATATCCGCTTAGACAGCTTCAGCCCGTCCTCAACTGATCTCGCGAAATCCTCCGCCATCATCGTCGGTAGAAACTTAGCCGGAAAATCGCCCTAGTAGGACGGGAATGGAAAAAAAAAAAAAAAAGAATTAGAGTGCGGGCAAAGCGAAGTCCAGAAAAATAAGGGAATCCAAAACCAGGGCTAGCAAGCCAAGAATCTAAATATAGACCCAGAAAAGGAAAAACTCATACACGCATGCCAAACGCGAGAGCAAACTAACAACCAAAAGAAAGAATCATCAGAAGATAGAAACAGCAAAAACGAAAACTCTTTTTTCCTCTCTGTGACAGCTCACCTGAGAAATTGGATGGAGGCAGGGGGAGAGCAAATCAGGCAATGCCGAGACCGACCCAGGTGAGATTGGAGCAAAGGAGAGGAGAACCTTGACTTGGGTTTTGATTCAAATCCGAGAAAGGAATGAACTTCGGGGAAGAAGAAAGTCGGCAGAGAATAAAAGCGGGAAAGAGAGAGAATAAAGGACTAGTATATCAAGATTCAAGTATGGCTTTCCGAGCAGTCAAAGTGATTAATTAAATTAATACTCTGATAGCAACAACCAACGGTAACTAAACGGGACGGGCATCGCCATTGAGATGATGATTGATGAAGAAGAGAAGTTAGAGATAATGGGTGGGATTTGGGAATTTGTTCGTTTGTGGGCATCCCATTCCATGCAAAAAGCCGAGGGGAGAAGAGGTAGAGACTAGAGAGAATTCTGATCTGAGTCGAGCGCAAGAGACCTCAATCAGAAAAAAAAAATGCAGAGCAAATGCCAAATGCGAGCTAGATCGAGAGTGGGCTGTGGAGCAGCCAGATTGGGCCATCATGAATTTCAGCCAAAGCCCATTACTAATCCAGCCAACAACATGGATATATGGAGCCATTAAAGGTGAAGGTTGTAATCCACAAAAGAAGCTATCACCTTCACAACACATGGAACATGGTTGTACGTAAGATCTACGATAGAAAAACATAATAGTATGATGGACATAAAGGGTGTGTTCATACAAAAAAAAATACCTGCATTCAAGCATAAATGAGTCACACTGTTGAGCTTTTGTTGTTCCAAACGATGGCACAGATTGACATATGCTTAAGATGTGTCATTCACACACAAAAAAAATATACCTAACTTGTCTTGTGAGTAGTATCTGCTCTCCAAAGAGAGAAGGTTCACTTGTCTTGGAAATGATTTACAAAAGCAGCTAACCAAGTCATGTGTTCTTTCTTCACCTCCCACTAACTATACAAGTTCAGGATGCTAACAAAGTGCTAAATATACAGCTACTGTGAAACCCTTAGTTTCTTGGCATTGAAACTGTGGAGGAGCTCCACTTAGATTCTCTTCAGTTGTTTCGTAGTCAACAAAAATACTTGCCTCACATTCATCGGCACAAGATATATGGAAGAAAAATGCTGGATGAGAGAGCGCAAGCACGACGAGTTCCGATATTACCTTCGTCGTGTAGAAAACCGGGTGCTTCTTCTCACAGAGGCAGAGTCGGGTTCTACATCAACCGAGAATCGATATCGCTTCCTTTTGGACGCACTCGTTGATGGCTGCTGCGTTTGAGTTTGTGTCTGAGTCGGCTGTTCATCCTCTTCTTCCTCCACGGGTTCACTCTTTGGTGCTGCAAATGGCCAATTAATGCCACAACTCGAACATACTATCTTGTCCTGCAAGCAACACAGTCATTTTACCTTACACGGGCTGTGAGAAAGCCCTTTGACGGTGGGAACAAACCATTATAATAAAAATGATAAGCTATTACCTTTTTGCGTTGGAGTTTCTTACTCAAGCAGTACTCATGAATTCGGACATTGCAGCCTTCAGTTGGGCACACTTTAGCCTGCCAAAAAAGTTGAATAATTATCTAAAATGCACAGGAAGTAGATAACTTATTAGAGTTATATAGTTCCATGTATGTAATAGTAGACCTTGATGCCGCTTTCGTTGCAGACTTCGCAAGGAGGAATGCCCATGTTATGGAATAAGCTCCTCAGATCAAGGTAGGATCTGAACCCTAGGGCAACATCACCGTCAGTAGTTTGAGAAAGCCACTTGTCTCGTATGAGTTCATCGATAGTTCTGTCCTTCTGGGACATTGAAAAATTCCTTATTGCAGCCGGGATTTCAGGTGGACTATCTTGTGATTGGGAACCTGCTGCCAACTGGACCTGCAGAAATACCATGAAGATTGTCATATGCTTACAATGATGTGAAAGGCATGACAAGCCTGTGAATATATGTAAGATGCTCACTCTCAAACTTGACCTGAAAAAAGCTTATGATAAGCAGAATTCTGTTGAGTTTAGAAAAAATTATGGCTTACAGTGTCTACGATCTATGCTACTATTAAGTGAACAGTAAAATGGATATTAAAGATGATTTACTAGCTTCAGTCCTGGATATGGATGATTACTGGTCAGACACCAATTACCTCCGAGGTACAATATTCCATCACAAATCTGAGCTTTGAGTCTCCATCATATTTTTCCTATGAAATGTAGAGCATACACCACTACAGGACAACTCAGCTTACTGCCGAAAAAGGATCACATACAATATGAATTCCTTATTCCTGTTAGTCATTACTAACGTTGTTCATGAGCTTGATGACCAAATGGCAATGCTTAATCAAGGGGTATGGTCATTCAACTGAAGTTATTCTGTGTCAATAATGATATCTTTGCTCGCTTCTCTATCTCTCTAAAATACAGCTACCACAAGTTCACTTCTTTTGGTTTTTTGCTTCACTGTACAAATGTTTCCATGCATTTTCTACTAAGAAATTGGTGTGCTACTGGAGTTATGCATACGCATAATCAGTTGGTTTTATCTTCCACAGGTTACATACGAACTCTTTAGACTTGAAGATCAAATATATTTTACAGAAACTTGAAGAAACAACTTTATGTGTTATGTAAGCTATTTGCATGGCAGAATATGTTATGAAAACCTGATTCTCTAGTCGTATGTTGAGAGCTGTAATGGTGGATATGCAACCCTGAGCTGCTTCATCTTGTACAATCGCTTCTACCTGAATGATATCATAAAATCAGGAAGGAACTAAAAACAAGATTGAAAACCTCCAACTAATTTAAATCATGTACCAATCAGACCAGAAAACACATGCTCACAAAAGGATGATCATATTGTAGCTAAAAGCAAATGAATGTAGCAGATATGTTCAGTTAATGCAGCGAAGGAATTGCATTCATGTAAAATGCATACAATACATGGAACTATCGAGAGTTAGAATAAACCATCCAGATCAGCAAAAAAAATCAGATGTGATAATCAAAAAGACTGGAAAACTATTTCAGATACGTAACAAACTACTCAGAGTAGCATGAGCTGCATCGAAGTGTATGCATTCAATTTTCAATCAGGTGGAAACCCATCTATTCCTTCGCATACTCTGTTCAGGCAGCTTAATGCAAGTTAGAAACATGACTTCTTGATCCTATGCGGGAAGTTTATCAACCATGATTAGATACTGACAGAATAGCAGGTGTTTAAGTACTCAGCTCCATGACAACTCGAAACAGTCAAGATGAGGACAGACTCATTCAAACCCACAGGAACAACAGCCATTCAGTTTTATGAGGAACTTACAATTCCCTTAAACAAAGCAATCTGCGGAATAGAGTACTTCGTCCCAAGCTTGGATTGCTCATCAGCAATGTTGTTGACCAATCCGTAATAGACCCGGCCATCGTTTTGGTTCCGACAGCACCTCAACTCCATCTGGACAAACGAAAGCTCCTTATTTATTTTCAGCGTGAAATCATTGAAATCTTTTTGCTTGGCACCTGCGCCAGCAAAACACATAACCATCCGCCATTAACATAATAGCTCAACAACAGCTACAGTAACCAAATGCCCTGAGAAAAATAATCCTAAAACTACATGCATAAACTTGACTAAGCGAATCGATTTCTCCCAGTCCATAAACAATATCGAGAACCTAAAACTTCGAGTCCAGAACATTGCTAAAGCGACCAATTAAAACTATCCATTCTCCACACACACAAAAAAAAGTGGGGAAGTTTCTTAACAAAAAAAAAAAAGTGGGGAAGCATTGAAGGAGGAAGACGTACTAGGGTTTTTTCCAGTAAAGTCGGTGTAGATTTTGCGGAAATCGTCCTCCATGAGCGGCCCACGCGCCATCAGAGCTTGGATGACGGTGTGATGCTTCCAACTGAGCACCGCCATTCTGTTCGGCTTGAAACCCTAGAATTATGCGGTGCGGTAGGGTTTCTAAGGGACGGAAGGAAACTTCAGCTAGTTTTACTTGGAATTGAGAAGCGGCCGCTGCACCGGGATTCCTCTCCGGAAAAGATTTCTCTAGAGGAGAAGACTGATAGAGAGCCGGAAATTACGAAGGTCGCGCTTGTGCCTGCCAAACTAGAATCTGAATTCGTCAGTGAAGTTCACCATTCTTTCTTGGCGGGAGCTGAAAATAAAGCCCTCGCTTTGGAAACCCGCCATTTCAAATTGTTTGAGGCCGGGCCGGGCCGAGCCGGAATAAGGCGATAGAAGCCCAACTAGCACTTATCTATTACAAGCCCAATTGAATTAACATGATCCTTTCACTTTTTCTTCCTCATCTTTTAGATTTATTAATATTTTTTTCTCTTATTATGGTGTACCCACGGTGGGCGGTACCTCAATACACATGCTCGTCCCACGTTACTACAGGTCGGGGCGGGTAAAACTCGTGCAGGTACAGGGCGGGGCAGGTCGACCTACTCTTACATGTTATTTGGAAGACAAAAAAATAAAAAATACAAATTTTACTTTTTACGATAAACTGAAGGGGGAAACACTTTATGAATAAAAAATAGTGATAATAGAATAGGTAATTGAGTCTAACCAATAGAAAGATAGACTCTGACTAGTTGAAAAAAGTCAAAATAGGAGAAATATCAAATATGTATAGATATTGTAAGAAATTGAGGTAGAATGGACGAAGAACGGGGCGGGACAGGGTGAGTCAGAAGTAGATACCCATGCCCCGCCCCACACTACTGCGAATCAGATAATATCCACCCCATCACAAATCAGATCGGATAATACCCGCAGAACGAGTTCAAATTGTCATCACTACCCATGCCCAACAAAATTGATTAAGCCAATCTCGGGAATATTGGGGCCTCAATTAGCCTCATTTCGCTCATATTTGATTTTGGGCTATCAAAATGAGGCTGATTGACAAGGTCGTTGTTGATTATTGAGAAATAGTTTTTACTTTTTAGGGATCAGATATTGCTAGCTACCAATATCTGCAGTAACCTTCATGCACAGGGAAATGACATCTGCATGACTGCATGAACCAACATTCTATAACTTGAAGTACATTGGCAAACGCATCGATGGATGCAACTACAAGAAGTACAAAGACAAACTACTAGTTGTCGTTCGTTCACCGAACAGTTTAGGAGAAGGTAAAGAATCATCACGAGTGGCAACATCCCACACTACACACACCTCGCAGTTCTGTCAGTACAGAGTCGATCCTGTGCCTCAATGAACAAGAAGAAGAAGCATACCTAGTACAGCTTTTAACACTTTACATCTTTTTTTGTCACCTGCATGGGGAAATGGTCAAGGGAGAATGACTTTTCTTGGCAGTTGCTGAGCTGCGAAAGTTCCCTCTCCGTGGTGGTGACTGTGACCATGATCATGATCGTGGAAGATGAGCGTCAAGATTCCCACCAGACAGAGAACGGAACCCACAAGAAGTTTGTCGTAGCGCTCCACCCAGTGGAACTTGATTTGACTAGCACCGTAGAATGACAGAGCCACCAGTGAAGTCATCACAGTTATCGTGCTGCCAATAACACATAGCACAGTGTTCAACTTCAGTGCTGACTAATCATTAAGTGTATGCATACATCTGATGGTAATGACCATATTTCGTTTCTTGTACGATGTTGTTAAGAAGTTTACATCCAATTACATTGCACGTCTTCGGCCAAAATGTAAATGTACGATGAAATTTTTTTGTGTCTGAAGGAAATAGGAAATGCAACAATCAGATGATGACATACCTGATTAGCAGCACGATGATAGCAAGCACCATCATAGAGGATGAATTACCGACTGCAAGGAACACTGGAAGTGTAGTCGCACAAGGAGATAATGCAGGAACAAGAACAAGCCCTGCAACAGCCATTTTCTCCATCGGCTGGTTGTGAGAGTGACTGTGTCCACCTTTTCCAGAGAGAAACAGCAACACGTAACTACCACCAAGAATTACGAGAAGCAATGACGCTAGCTTGTGAACTGTTTCTTCACCAGCAATTGTGTTTGCCATTGTGATTGCCGTGATGCCAAGGAGCGAAGTTGAGATAACATGCAAGACAGCCCCAAAAGCAGCTGCAGGGAGAAACAAAATTCCCTGATCAGTGCATAAACAACCATTGAAACAACTAATCACTAGATTATTCTATGAAGGGCACTGACACTAAAACTATGATTCTTGAAGGTGAACTGAAGTTGGTTAACATGTATATGTTTCCAAAAAGATGAACTAAGACCAGTCCATGTAAACAAGGGAAACTAACATACTGGCAGAAGCGTGCTAAAGTCACTAGCTATGCCAGTATCGAAAAAATGGGCAACAGGAATCAGCCGAATCTTCATATCAGAGATAGCCACTAAAGCAGTAATGAATTGAGAAACTCAATTGATGAAACAAGTTGAACAAAGCATGTCCTGGATGGAGTAACTTTAACTTGAACTAATTAATCAGACAGCATGAGGGAAAAGCGGCTGTACTACCCAAGGCCACTGGATAGTACCAAAATACTACAACTCATAGCTGAAAAATCCAGAGACCATTGTACTATAAACCTAATGCATCCATATCCATTTCAGCTTCTAAGAACTGAGCTAGGAAGACGATGAATTCAAGGATAAACTAGAATGAAGCTTTAGAAAGCCAAGAAGGCATAACATGAAACACAGCCCACACAGTCCAGCTATCAAAATGTAACCAACGAGTAATGAGGGAAATACGTCCATGGCCAAGCCTGCTATAGATCAACAGGCTGCCATCACCTAACAGTAAATCTCACTCAAATTGACGAATTCATGGGCAAAACTCGACGCACACTTCGCAAGGGAATTGAAGACTTGCAGAGCTACGGCCCTAATTACCGATCCGAATCAAGATAAACCAAACACGGAATGAAATGGCGCCAAAATGATGTACCGAGCGGCAGAAATGCAGCAGATCTGAACTTAACAATACGATGCAGCCGACTGAGGGAAACCAAAGAGATTGCGGGAGAGAGAGAGAGAGAGAGTGTGAGCGAGAGAACATACTGACGAGGAGGGTTCTGGAGAGAGTCCATTTCTGAGCGCGGCCGACGATGGAGAAAGGCAGCCAGTGGGTGGGGATAAAGGAGTGAAGAAGCGAGACGGTGGCGATTCCCCCGATCGTGGATAGATCTTCGGCGGTGAAGCTATCCATCTGCGAGGACTAACACAACTCTCTGGCTGGAGAATTTCTTCTTCGATATGTGATAATCGTCCGAGGTCTTCTTCCTCCAGATGAATCGCGAAGCAGCAGCAGAAGAACAAGAACTGCGACGGGGAAATGATCTCCGCGGCAATCTGCTACATTACAGTCACGCACCTCGATTACGTTTCCAGCGGAAGGAGGGGAGTCTTTCTGTTTGGTTTGGCGGAAGAAAGGAAGGAGAGTTCGGTAAGAAATGCGAAGCTTTTCGCCTGTAGAATTGGGAACTGAACAAGCACAACTAATAAATATAGTGACGAGTTTGATTAATATCAATTTTTCTCTGATTTATTGGTATTTTTCAATGTTTTAAACACCGTATCTGCATGTCGCACCTCAACAACGATTCAGTCTTATGAACAAATTTATAAATATCTGGTTTCTTGATAATTTATAGGTTTGTTAAATTGTATATCTCACCTTATATGATATTTAAGACTATGATATTTAAGACTTTGAGAATGTGAGCAAATATGTTTCGGTTATAAATTAAAATAGAGATCATGACATTACGTATCATAAATTGCTTAAATAATAATTGCTATGAAATTACGGGGTATTTTGGATTATGAATTATAATGGATTTAAAGAGACAATTGGACCAAATTGACTCGTTTTCCAGAATAAAATTTGGATAAATCAACTTACCTGGATAATTTCAAATTGATCCGTTTTGGGTCAATTCTCAATTGTCTGGTGGGTGGGGCATGTAAATTGACTCGTTTCATAAAATGAGATAATTGGTCAAATTGTCTCGTTTCGAATCCATCCAAACGACCCCACATTTATATGAAGTTATGAACTAAATAATACAATACCAATAGAGTATATAAACATGGAATTAGTAATCACATGTCATACAAATATTAGTGTATTTAATTCATAAATTATAGCTTAGTTTGAGGGTTCAACTATATAGAATAACTGACTTGAACTCGAGCTGAACTCATGATCTTATTGACGAGCCAGTGTAATGAGGCAGTTCTAACTCTACTCGATTCAACTCATTTATAAACAACTCAATCTGAACAAGACAAAACTAGACTCATTAACAATCCCAAGTCACAATGCATCGATTTATGTCAATGATACAGGGTTGCACTTCAATGAGGACATAGTTTGAACTCAACTAATCTTCATGAAGTCTCTTCTGATATAATTTTGAGCCACAATGTGTGACCTATAAGACAATGTTACCAACCTTAGTAGTGTATCAACAACCATTGATTTGGAAAGTTGGTTTCGTATGAGATTGAATTCAGCATCTATGTCAAGAATTCACCTTCGTTGCGAGGAAAAAAATGTCAACACGAGAAGGATGGAAGTAGGGATGGCAATGGGGCGGGTTTGCATAAAACATCCCCATCCCCATCTTCAAATACCCAAATCCATACCCGCCCCATACTCATGCGGGGAATGTTTTGCAAACCCATCCCCATACCCGTGGGTTTCGGGTACCCATGGGTAATACCCATCCCCGTACATCCAACATTATTATACCTAAAATTTACAAAAAATGTTTTAATTATAACCACAAACAAACCTATTATACATGAAGTCAACAAAACACGGTCATTTTCTAAATACGATTCAAAGAATATGATCCTAAAACATCCATTAATACATAATATAGACTACCATATTTTTTAAATTATTATGCTCTAACTCTTGATACATTTACTAAGTAATAATTAACTAACATAATCTTGTTGACAAGGGGGAAAGTGAAAGAGTGGAAGGAGAATTGAGGGAAATGAATTAGGTTTTGATTAAGGTGGTTATTCAATTGCATTTCTACTATTTATTTTCTCGAGTTATCATCATCATCATTGATAGATTACAATTTAATCCACATATTTTTTGATTTGTGAAGAAATTCTCTTGGTGGGGTGGGTATGGGTATGGGGCGCGGAGGCTAAAACCATACCCGCCCCATACCCATCAAACTTTTTGCAGGTTTTACCCATACCCGTCCCATACTCGATCAAAACGGGGATTGCATTGACTGGGTCGGGGGCGGTCGGGTACCCGCGGCCATGAGTTTGATTGCCATCCCTAGATGGAAGCGGAGAAAATGGCAATCTCTACTTCAAAGTTCAAACAAAGATGCCATCCCACTGAGAAATAGACCAAATATCTCAAATTTCATGCATCCACAGAATCTCAAGTCGCCTGTGCTCTTCTAAAATATACAGTACAAAGACAACTATAACCTGGCTCAGTAGTCAATACACACCACAGCCATTGTCCAATTCCAACAGCATGCTCTTCGTATATCTTCTTCCCATTTGCAGACCATCCTTTGCACTGAGGATAGCGTCTTCATTTTGCAGTAGATTAACTATTAAAGCTCCATTAAATTAACTAGCCAAACCTCCAAGTCACAAGAGCTAACCACCGGAGCGAGCGAGAGACTACTACTATATGGCAACATGCCAACATTCATTCAAATAAGACCTTTTTCCAGGAGACAAACATACAACAACAACAAGAGTTTTTCTTTGTGATACACGAGAGCAAAAGGAAGTAGTCACCTGCACAGCATGGGAGCTTCTCTATACAATAACTATAACAGCAACAACAACCAAAGCTACTCCGTCAGACCTGCATCCATTACCTGCGCAGGTGGAGCAGAGACAGCTACTGCAGCTCCACCGAGGTCATGTGGGTTAGAGTTGCCGGACCTTTCTCGAATCTCTCGGTACTCTTGGCAGTTAGCACACAAATGGCAGAAGAAGTGGGTGATGAAATCATTGCAGGGGGCTTCCTGCGAAAAAAGAGAGCAACTATGTTTAAATAACGGTTGAAGATGGCTCCCTTGGGTTTTGTTGAGCACAAAGATTGGAGGTTAATGAACGGAAACCCAGACCTCGAGTTTGTACTTCTCACGGAGAGTTCTGCGATAGGAACAAGTGTAACAAGCAACGAAACATCCAGGGATTCCCAATAAGATGCCGTCTGTCATGCAGCAACAAATGGCGTTGACGAGCGACCAGAGAATGAAGTGGGTCACACATGATCCGACCAGTGTTCCGGATCCCAAGAATTCTGCGTTCTTGGCAAACAAGTAGCATGGGCATAAACAGCCAATCAAACCTGGTAACAAATGTAAAGAAAGGATCAATATATAGTTTCAGAGGTATACAATACTAAATATGCTAACAAGACACATACAAAAACAGGTGTTATTCATGGTAACCATGAATTCAAAGAACAAGCTACTAGCAAGTAATATAAAACGGAAGTTTATGGCTAGACGAAACGAAACAACGTCCCAGTTCTCTTTAGCAATGCCTCACAAGTGAATGTTTGTGCATCATGTACATGGAACAGGCATATTTGACAAATTATCAATGCCACTTACCACAACAGTTGCTGGTCCTATGCAAAAATGGAAAACATCTACATCAGAGATCAGAGATAGAGAGAGAGAAACTATGACCATGTCAAAACAAGAAATATACATAAAAGCAAATGACTTCCTATACCCGAAAGGCCGAAACTCAACTGAACTATGTTCCGGTTTTTGTGAGTCAAAAGTGACAATTCCAAAGTGCATGATAAACAATAACCAAGAGTGTTTGCAGCAATATACTCTTGGTCTCTTCATCATACTAATAATTGCAAAACCAACTAGCAAGCTTCAAGAACTTTCCTATGTTTGATTAAGACAATAAAGAGTAGTGGTTATTCGACGTCCCGGAGCTTCCATCTCGATCCCATTACTTTCCTTAAACGTCTAACTGAAGCAACTGATTATGATATATCAAAGTTCAGAGGGCATAAAGTAGCATACAGCTCGGCGTATCATCACAGCAGGCACAGATTCCAGATGACCACTGTGCCGGTCCATCACCCACGAATTGAGAACGAGGAGCACGACTTTCTTCCTTGGCTGGTGAAACGTGCTCTGGTTCAGAATCTGATTGTCCCAGTGGAATATAGGTCGGTGGTACATAACCACTTTGGCCATTCATTTTCTCCAGGGGTATATCTATCACCAAACCATCATCAAGTCAGATTTTCCTCAGCAGTGTCCTGTAGAAACAACAAGACCAGGCTTTTCAACCAGACAGCCACCACAGAGTACAACTGAAACCATGAAAAGACCATCAATGTCGGTCACATTCACATTGAGCTGGGACACCATTCAGTGTATAACCAAGCTAGCAACAGAATCAACAACCTGCTACAAGTTCTCCAACAATCAAACATCACCGCATAAGAATAGAGCGTAAATTCATCAAGGAAGTGACGATAAATCTCGCATAGATATCTCAATTCCGCAGGAAAGATCCACACGGAACCAGCAGACAGCGCATTCTGATCCTAACTATTCCGATCTCATATTACCATTCAGTTCAAGTGGGAGGGAGAGCTCATTGAAGTCTGGAATTGAAACATTACCTAAGGATGAGGGATTTATAGCTGGAAGAGCAGCACCTGTTGCCTGGAAAACCTCTCTCCGGCGCGGCTGTCTCTCTCTCTCTCTCTTTCTCCCTTCCTCTTATGTCTCCGCAACCAGCTGCTTCTCTCTTGTGTCCCTGTTCTTAGGCCGTCGTCTAGCTCTCCTTCCTTCCTTCCTCTTTTCTTTCTCTCAGTACGTGGTGAAGAATGACCGGCAGTAGTGGCGGCGATAGGAAGAGTTCCGGCGAGCAGAAATAGGACTGAGCGTGCTGATCCCGATCTTCGCTTTCCTCGTTCTTTCGATTTTCACGTTTCCCTTTTTCATTTGTAACTTATTTTCAAGCCTGGTCTCAAAAACGACAATAGATCTGCATAATACGCCATCTTTGGCTTTCAACTCGACAAATTGACGCTTCGGTGCTCAAATCCTTCTAATCTACCAGTTTCAGTCCTCCAATTAAAATCCCGATGAAGGTGAAAGTTTTATTATATGCCAAGTGTATCAAATCGAAGGAAGTACTCGAATTAAAATTGCTGTAAAATATATTCATAGTGAAATATATTCATTACATAATCAAGCGAAATAAGTAGTCATAATGTGGCTGAAATCTGAGAGATAATATAGATATTGTGAGATGATGTTTAATAACAAAATATGGTGAATGCCAATAGCATATATTTTGTATTGATAGGAGTTTGGCATTTGTGAATGATGCTAAAACAAAAGGAAACGGGTCGACCCAATTTGACCCTGATTCGGTGAAAAAAATGGGCCACACGCACCCGTCGGGTCGACCGCTATAAGGTATAGGGGTTGTAGGTCAAATTGTATCATTTTTTTCTTTAGTTTGCGAAATGCGCCTATTTTCCAATTTTTCTTTTCGCCTAACTCAATCTTTGGAATACTTTTTTTTTTTTTGACATCACAATCTTTGGAATACTAAGTTGAACATTTGAATATTTATGTTATATAAGTGTGTGTGAATTTTCACTATATGTTGGATCTAAGTACAATATGTTATTTTGGTGTAATATTATATGTTATAACTCATATGTCAGATAAGATTTTATATAATTTATGAGGATAAATACAATATAATGACTCTTTCTATATTTCCGGGCCAAACCGGGCTAAAACGGTTGACCCATTAACCCTTGACCCACTAGCTCGACCGGATCCGGGTCAACCCGCGGGTTGACAACCTTGGATTAGGAGAAGTGTATGATGTTGATAAAAGATTTGAGCTAGATATTGTCATGGGCTCATGGCACCAATGGCCAAGGAAGAGATGTCAGTCAATGAATGGAATTTTGGTTGGCAAAGAGATGAGTTGTGTGGTAGAATGTATGGGTCGTAACATTTCATTGGAGTGACACGTTTGTAAAAAAAAAATTAATACACGATGATGTGAATCTTCTTGAATGTAAGAGAGTTTAGAGGAGTAGGTAACAATTAAACCTTTACACGAAACATAAAAATGCTAGTATGTAAACCTACACTGCACAAAAATGTGACAATATTACACTGATATTATACCGTCGAATATTATATCGAACCTAACATAAATTTACTTTAAACATCCGTAACCATAGAAGTCGACCAAACATAATACATTTCATATCCAACTCTAGTTCTCATTTTTCCTCCTTTACGGCTAATTCACTCCGAACTCTTGTACTAAATTCTGTATCGAATCGAAGTAGACCATTACCAAAGTTTTGGTGATGGTTTCGGTAATTTTGTGCCACAGACCCGACCGAGGTTGTAAATTAGCCTGAAACGGGAACAAAAAAAGGACCGACACAAAAAACGCTACAATTCACATTTTCTCCCCTTTCGTCTTCCTTGCTTCCCCCAATTTAGGGTTTCAGGAAATCTTTGGAATCGGCCGGAAGCCCAGAGTCATGGCCGAAGTCATTAACATGCCCGTCGACTCCGTCGACCGCCGGGACGGCGGCAAGGAGAAGTCAGGCGACGAGGATCCCCAATCGTCGCCCCCGCCCCCTCCTCCTCCTATGCCTCCGCGTCGTCGTGACAGCGACTCCCGTGAGCGCAGGGACGACAGGGACATCGACCGCCCTCCCAATCGACGAGGAGGAGGCGGCGATTATTACGACCGGAATCGGTCACCTCCGCCTCCGCCTAGGGACAGGGAGAGAGATTACAAGAGGAGGAACAGTTTGAGCCCCCCGCCGATTCCGTATAGGGATAGGAGGCATTCCCCGCCGCCGCGTAGGTCTCCGCCGTACAAGAGGACGAGAAGGGAGGATGGCGGTTACAACGGGAGGAGAGGCGGAAGGTGAGTGTAATTAGTCCGTGATCCATTGATGGTGATATGGTTTTCCATCGAGGAATTCATCCAACTTGCGGAGAATTCGAGCTGATAACACATAGATATCCGGTTTGTTCGAAACTGTGTCACTGGTAGAGAGTGCGATTAGAACTGTGACATTGAGCTGATGGCAAGTAGATATACCGTTTCTACAATATGGTTGCTCTTAGAGTTCAGTCTTCACTTGTTCTTGTAGGCCATCTGGATGTAGCCTGTATCTATGCCTTCCTTCTTTTGTCTTGTAATAATAATGGAATAGAAATTCCAGCACAGAAGCTAACTCCTTTGTGTAACAAATGCTTCTCTATCTATGGATACTTGGGGCAAGCCTTCGCATGCTATAGGCTATAGCTTTTTAGTAATCTGTTAACTACTGTGCAATGTATTTCGACAATTTGTGTTTCAACCTAGATAAAGGCATCCTTGTTCATTCCCCTGCAGGCCTGGATATGAATTTGGTGGTGGATATGATCGAGAGATGGGTGGAAGGCCTGGGTACGGTGATGAGCGGCCTCATGGTCGGTACATGGGTGGTCGTGGTGGATATCAAGGTAGTTAGTTACTTTTGGAAAACCAAATCTGACATGTGTCATAATCCAGCTCCCACTGTTTTGTTATAATCCTGAATTCTAATAGAATACTCTTTTAGTGGTTTTTCTTTCATATTATGTGGACGAGTTACACTGTCCAGGATGATTTACTTGTCTTCCCAAATCTTAAAAGTTGCATTGGGGTTTGTCTTTAGAGCGTGGTCCTTCTGGTGCAATAACTTCCCAAGTGATAAAAGTCTATATTAGGCTCATTGACCCTGGAACTCATCAAGCAGGCTGCTTATGTGCTTCTCTCAGGGCAATGTGAATTCAGACTCCTCTGAAGCATGCTTTCAGCTGCTATTTCTTTTGTAGTTAAGGTTCTAGCGCATTCTTTTCCCTTTGAGTGCTGTAGACACTTAGCTGCCGATGGTGTAGGTGAAAGCGGCTCTATTCCCTGTGATATCTCATTTTGTCAGCTTAAACTTCTTGAAGGGGGTTATTGCTATGTGGGTGAGAACCGGGAATGGGATGAAAATGTTCATGAGAGGTCTTGTGGTGTGCCGGTGGAACGGACTTGGAGAGAATACAATGGTTGACTAAATAATTTTCTTTTATGTTTACTAGGTCTTCACTTCATAATTAGTGGGGTCCAAGTATATTCATTTGGTTATCCTGTATCGATGTTCTCTTTGGTCATATAATATGAATGTGGTACCTCATATATACATATCTTTCTGCCTGCAAATTTGTAATGCATTTGGTTATCCTGTATTGATGTTTGAGGGCCAAGATATCTAGTGTCTTTGGCGGGGAAATAATGTTCTTTGTTTAATATTCTGAAGTCCAGTGGATTGCAGTTTGGATCAATGCTTCAAGTCAACTATGGCTAGTATATTCTAGTGTCTTCACTTGTTGTTATTTAACACTGAGGTACGGTTTCTTATGCAGACTGGGATGCAGGTCGGGGTGGTTTCGGTGATGCTTCCAATGCTGGGTCTACTCAAAGGTTAGTTTTAGTTGTTAGTGGAATGGGCTCTTGTATTAGCTTGTAATGTTTGTTTTCTTTGTGATGCTGTTTACTTCATACTTCTGAAAGCTCATTCTGATTGATTATAAATATGGTTCAACTCAACAGATGCTTCCTGGATGCTTTTATCCACTATGTGCTATGATGCTGTTGTTTTGGGGCCTGCTTTTGTTATTCATAAAAAGAAAAAGCATTTATCGACTGTGTGCTATGATGCTGTTGTTGATGGACCTGCTTTTATTATTCATAAAAAAAAAAAAGAACTGCATATGTTTGATGACGCAGTGTCTTCATACTATTCTGGTTATGTTTTTTCCGTTGGTATTTAATGTGGCAATTCCTTTCCTCTCCAGAGAAGGTTTGATGTCATACAAACAATTCATTCAGGAGCTTGAAGATGACATACTTCCTGCTGAAGCTGAACGCAGGTATACAGAGGACACATTTCTGGTTACTCATGAGGTTGATTCTTTGTTCCGAAATTCTGAAGTAGCAGGAATGTTTGATTGCTCAGATATCAAGAATACAAGTCAGAGTACATATCAACTCAGAAAAGAGTATTTTTTGATGCTCACAAAGATGAGGAATGGTAAGTCTTCACTTGAGTAATTCTCAGATGAATTTGTACTAGTTTTGTTCTCATTGATGCTTTATTGGTGCAGGTTAAAAGATAAATACCATCCCACCAATCTTGTGACAGTCATTGAAAGGTATTTACTACTGACATGTATGCAAGGATGAGTTGTTTCTTATTTCGGTTTGTCCCCAACTGGCATTACGTTTGTATGGTTTTAGTGAAGGCGGAAGTTAGAATGCCCAACTATGATGAACACATGATTGTAGCTTTTAAGATTACATTGCCTCATTTCAGTACCCTATTTGTCTGATTTCTTGTTGTAGTTAAGATGTGATTTGGATTTGTTGTTCCTCTGTTGGTTTTTATATTTGTTTTTATATCTGTGATTGTTGCAGGAGGAATGAACTTGTCCGCAAAGCTGCCAAGGAATTTTTGCTTGATCTGCAAAGTGGGACATTGGACATGTAAGATTGACTGTCTGGGACATGTACTTGCATATTCTGTATGTTTGCTATAGCTAGGTGTAGATATATGTGGTCGTATGTGAAGTCTGAATTTTGATTTTAATATGACAGAGGTCCTGGTGTAAGTGCTTTGCCCCCAAGTAAGACTGGACAGACCACCAGCAACCCAAATTCTGATGACGAAGGAGATACTGGGGGCAAAAGAAAGCGAAATGGAAGGGCACCTGGAAAACAATCTGATGTGCTTTCAGCAGCTCCGAAGGCCCACTCAATTAGTTCGGATCCCAGAAGAATTCAGGTTGATGTTGAACAAGCACAAGCTCTTGTTCGCAAGCTTGATTCTGAAAAGGGAGTTGCTGAGAATGTTTTAGCTGGTTCTGAGAGTGATAAAACAAACCGAGAGAAATCTCATGGCGACTCCACTGGCCCTGTTATCATTATACGAGGGTTGGCCTCTGTTAAGGGATTAGAGGGGACTGAACTATTGGACACTCTTCTGACTTATCTTTGGCGGATTCATGGTGTGGACTACTATGGGATGCTTGAAACAAGTGAACCTAAAGGTCTAAGGCACATTAGGGCAGAGGGAAAGACTTCTGATTCTGAAAGTGGAGGACCTGAGTGGGAGAAGAAGCTTGATTCCCGTTGGCAAGAAAGGCTCAGGGGACAGGATCCGCTGGAAACAATGACAGCTAAGGAGAAGATCGATGCTGCAGCTGTTGAAAATTTGGATCCTTATGTGAGGAAAATCAGGGATGAGAAGTATGGATGGAAATATGGTTGCGGAGCAAAGGGTTGCACAAAACTATTTCACGCTGCTGAATTTGTGCACAAGCATCTGAAACTTAAGCATACGGAAGTTATCTTAGAGCTGACATCCAAAGTGAGGGAGGAGCTTTATTTCGAAAACTACATGAAGTAAGCACCTTCATGTTTTGTATTATTTTTCTCTCTGGTTTTAGTTTTGTATTCCCTTGATGTTTATCTGGTTTCTGTATACAGTGATCCAAATGCACCCGGTGGCACTCCTGTTATGCAACGGCCTCAACTGGTAATCCCTTATGAAATCAGTTCTACTAAGTGGCTTTTATAGGTCTACATGGTTGGTTCTGAGACTTATTGCTCATGCCATACCTCCTTCCTGCTTCTTAAAAGCAAGTATACATCCTTTTGAAATTGATATCATACTTCCATTTGGCTACCTCGTATACAGCAAGTTTGGCTCTTGGCTTAGCAATTTAGTAATCGTTCTTTGTCACTTCTAGTTTCGGTTGCAATATGGATATCCTCGTTTTATAAAGCGGCAAGATTGTACACACTTCGTTGTACGAAAATGCTCGAGAGAAGTCAGTATATCCTTCCTTTTAAAATAGCAAAGTCAGTATTTGATACCTCCTTTTCCTGCTTGTTATAAGCAAGTGTTCCTCCTTGGTAAAGTATTTAGTACTTCCATTTGGTTCCCCTGACCCTGAGGCTGCAAATCTGGGCTCTTGGCCTAGCAATTTAGAAGCAGTTTCTTGTCTCCCTTTTAGTTTAGGCTACATAATTGATATCCTCATTTGATAAAGTTCCAAGATCCTGAAACGTTTACCTCTCACCCCTTACATTTCTTGAATCTGTCTAGTTTCCAAAGTGTGGACGAACTATAAACTGGGCCTCCTACTCAATAGTGGGGACTTTGAACAAATTTCGATGTTGCAGATACACCTCTTATATGTGGAAGTGTATTTGTTGCAATGTAGTATTACCATTTTCAGTCTGATGATTTTTATACTGCTGATCATTCCTATTTAGTGCTTCCTACTAATATTCAATTTTATTGCAGAGAGACCGACCAATGCGGAAGAGGTTAGGTATTCAAAGCCGATTGAAGGACGACCGTGGGAACAGGAGAGAACTTGACAATCAAGCAAATGGTGGTGAAAGATATGATCGACCCGAAAACCCACAATCAGGGGAGTTCCAGTCCAATAACAACGATGGTCCTGATGGTGGGAATGGCGATGAACAGATGTATGATAGTTTTGGTGCACAAGGTGGAGGGATTCATCCATTCCCCTCCGACATCCCCCCACCACCCGTCTTAATGCCTGTTCCTGGTGCTGGGTAAGCTGTCGAGACACTCTTGACCAATCAGATTGATTATCTCTCGTGCTTCGCTATGGTAGTCATCTGATATTTACTGAAAAATTGTATATGCAGTCCTCTGGGTCCTTTTGTACCTGCACCTCCTGAGGTTGCCATGCGAATGTTCAGAGAACAAGGCGGTCCTCCTCCATTTGAAGGTGGTGGTGGCGGTAGGAATGCAAGACCTGGGCCTCAATTAGGGGGGCAAGCTCCTATACTTCTATCTTCAGCCTTTCGGCAGGATCCAAGGCGTATTCGCAGGTATCAAACTTCTTGCACCTTTTTTTCTGGCTGAAGCTGAAGTCCCATAGTAGCTAATCTTGTGGCTTTATTTCTCTAGTCTTTCCCGACATTTCTTACAAATGACTGGCTATACTTGGTTATGGCTTATTGCCATCCTCTTGTCATCTGAATATTTTTTTTTCTTCTCTCTCTTGTGTAGTTACCAAGACCTAGATGCACCAGAAGATGAAGTTACTGTGATAGACTACAGGAGTTTGTAGAGGCTTGCGTATCGGGTGCAGAGAGATCTCTCAGCAAGGACCTTTCTTTTTCTGGTTGCCAAGACATTAGCTTTACTCGAGCAACATGCTGCGAGAATAGACCTCCAGTAGCCTACCCTCAGGAGTTTTATTAGCTATCGAGGACCTTCTTTTGTGTCAGATGGATGGTGGCTGGGCTAATGTTAGCCGTGGCGGTCTTATTTACTGTAGGTTGTACGGGAAAGCGACTGGAAGTGACATAGTGCAGGATTTTTGTCTCTCGTCCAACTCAATATGCTTGAGTTTCTTGCTTTCATTTGTGTTAGTCTGTAATCTAGAGCCATGACGAAACCAATTGAAGGTTGTTGACATAATGTGATTTTGTGCAAACTGGGACAGACAAATTTGTTACATGGTTCTCGTTAAGCATATTGACATTTGCTGGACTTGATACAAAATGCTCATCCGAATGGTAGAAACTGAATTCCTTTCAGCAAAGAAATGAAGATCTGCTCTGACATGCTGTATTATTCATTCTGTTACTAGATGAGAGTGCAATGAAGAAGAGTTGCTTGATTTCGAATTGGCTCTCACCCACACATGTACAACATATTTTACACGCCAAGCTCGCTAGAGCTTACACAGTTACACAAAGTTGGCTACAAAGGGAGTCTGGGGAACAATAAATATCAGAAGTCCTACCAGGGATGAAATCTGAGAGATGTGAAAAAATTGGGAGGATATGGTTGTCCCCTAAATCACTCAACATGTACAAAACGTGGTCTGATTGGTTACACACACCTCGTAGAGCAAACGGCTAATGTTCTTTCACTTACGTTGCTTCTTTTGTTGAGGTTCCACCGATGGCTCCACCTGAATTCAAGAGAAGATGTTAATTAGTTATGTGGTTCATAAGTCGTTCGAACTTGGCCTAATAATCCACGGTTCCATCAAATGATCGTAGTTAGAGTACAAAATGTCAGGCAAGTTGCTAAAGTTCAATGATGTTCATTCTTTGGGCTAACATTATGCTAAAGCTACTACAACAGGTTATTTTTCACGCAGAAATAACAGAGCTCTGGCACTGTTGCGAGAAGAAATCATGCAAGTTCAACATTGGCAGCAGGACTCCAGGAGGCAGACAGTTGTCTACCACAGGCAGAAACGGAACAAGTAAAAAAAAGTTCCACAGGTCACACACACTTAGCGAAGTATTAAAAACCGGCTATGCATAGTGAGACCAAACTTACAGTGTTTGCAAGCTGCTCATGTATGTAGGCCATCGATCTTAACATAGCACCAAGGGTATCCCGGGAGATCCGGAATTTAACCTCCGACTCTTCAGAAGTAGTTTCAGTATCATTAAGCTGAAACCATAAAAAAAACCAGAGCAAAATTAAGGACAGGGAGCTGGAACATATACACTAACATGCTTGAATTGGCAAAAAAGGGGGAAAAGTCATAACATTAAAGGCATCTGAAAGTAGAGATTTTCTAGTTCTTGACCAAGATGACTTGTTCCTATACCGGTAAAGGGAGGATGGTTGTTGTCAATGGAATGCATATAAAGAGTTGGTTCAAACCGCTCCAACTATATGATTATAAGTATGCTACTTCGCTCTCTCTTTCTCTATAAATAGGTAACAGCACGCAAATAGCTTTTTGGAAGATAGGCAGACACCATGGAAGCAAAATTCTTAAGCAGACCTCTTTCCATAACCATATTTCTTGAACCAGTGTGGGAGAAAATGGGAAAAAAGACTATCAGTGGCCAGAGAATTGAAGGTTGTTTGGAGAAACAATAACCAACTACTCTCAGACTTTTCCCCCTTTTCTTACACCCACTTGTAGGAGAAAGACTTGGAATATAGAGGGTTCATACCTTCAAGTTGATCACAGCGAAAGTGTTAGGTGGTGCGGCAAGCTGGTCACTGATATATGCCATTGACTTCAGCATAGGCTCTAATGAGACTCTTGAAACATTAAACTTAACCTCAAACTCTGATGACGGAGTCTTGCTGTAATCTTGCAACTGCAAGCATTTGCAACGGTAATACACATCAAATAAATCCCTCCCAAAATCAGGCAACCAGTATAGAATAGAGACCGGAAACAAACCCTTAGGTTGATAACACCGCCTCGGTTTCCAGTTGTAGAATTCTTGTTTTCCATCACCCAGGTCATTGATTTAAGACAAGGGAGAACTACCTGCCGAACAAAACCAGCGGGTAAGTAACAGCGAGAAGTATATCATCAGTTTTATGAAACAAAACCACTTTCTTAACTAAGAAAAACCATGCATAAACTTCACAGAGAAAACATTATTCAGGATTACCAGGTTGCCAGGAGGACCATCATCTCTCTGCACGGATACAGGGAACATTCTGGGAAGATTTAGGTCAGCAACAGACTGAGTTGACGCACCATTATCATTTAGATTAAAATTACGAATAACTTCTTCTTGATCAGGCCACAACAGAGAGGGTGCATCTGATGCTGGTGCAGATGCCTTTTTGCCATCCTGAGCAGCAGTCCCGCTAACTTGTGAGTTTGTTGGTGAAACTTTGGCAACATTTTTCTTGGCAGCTGCAACCTTCTTTATACCCTCTCTAAGGGCAGCCAATGCTGCACTATAAGTCTCTGAAGCTACTGCCCCCTCCTCAGCATATTTGATAGCTTCTCGACAGAGATTGTTGTATCGAGATGTAAGAATTTCTGGTTTGGATGATGACTCAGTACTAGGTCCAGCAATCCCATGACCAGCTTTGGCCTTTACCGTCCATCGCCCCAAGATATAATGAGGTGGCAAAGTAAGAACATTTGTCACAGTGAACACTGTCAAAACATGTCTGCACAGTACGCCTGAATACTCAAACATTTGGCAGCTGCAGTTGGCTATCATATCTCCATAGTTCAATGTAACAGTATATTCCTTGTCATCATCTTCAAACTTAGCAACCCTGAATGTGCTGACAGTTGCATCACCCTCGATTCTGTTAGCAGTATATACAAAAGTTTCAACCAGCTCTTCCTGAAACTTTGTAAATACTTTCTTTGTATATAGATCTGCTGCCTGTTTCTCCATAGGGGAAGGTGTCCTTAGGACCGGTGTTGTACAAATCGTGTCGAAATCAGCTTCTAGCTCCCTTTGAAACGAAACCTCTAAAGCTCTTTCATACTGCCTAAAGAACATTGGTAAGGTGGTTTGTTGGTTAACATAACCATCAAAAAAAGAAGCATCAAATGCATGATTTGGAGATATTTCAGCGAAGAAAGAATCTCGGAAGTATACTGGTACCCATTGAGCACGAGAGTCATACAAAGACTGGAGCCATTCTTGCCCCTTCAAATCATATTTATCAACTAATGAACTCCACGAGAATTCAAATTCCTCAATAGTTTCAGTCAAGTTGATACAATTGTACAACTCCACCTGGAAACTGGGATGTGAAAGGCATATATGAGCCAACTTTTCCTGCCCTGCCCTTAAGACATTCCACTTATTCAAACAATGTCTTGTTTCAGGAAAGACTTGTGAGACTGCAACTTGTATGGCCTTATCACGATCAGTGATAATTGATGCAGGATGCCGATCGTTCATCGCCGTAAGAAATGTCTTGAAAAGCCAAAGAAAAGAAGCTTCAGACTCATCCAGTAGTATAGCACAACCAAACAAAATCATCTGTCCATGATGGTTCACCCCTGTAAATGGAGCAAATGGTACCCTATATTGGTGGACTCTGTAGTTTGTGTCAAACGTGATGGCATCCCCAAAATGACTATAAGCTACCCTTGACCTAGCATCAGCCCAGAAAACATTCGACATACGGTTATCGTCATCGAGCTGTATTGCATAAAAGAAACCAGGGTTCTCAGCCTGCATCTTCTTGAAATACTCCAAAAGATTATGTGCATCCCTTCCTAGTGTTCTCTTGTGCATATTTGGCCGAATGGTAGAATTTATTGCTGCTGGATGGATCTTCGTAACTCGATTTGGTTCACCAACAGAGTTCCTAATCCCACGATTCTCTTGTGGGGGTCGGTTTCCATCCATGGAAACATACATTACACCACTGGGAACCTTGCCCACCACCCAGTGGTTGGTTTCGGTCGAGACGGGTTTTGCAGCACCAGCAAAATGCCTTTTCGGCCTGAGGTACTGAAGTTTGGTGGCACCATTATTAGACGACTGGTGTTTGCTGGGACCGCTATTCGTCGACTGAAGCCTGGTGCGACCGTTATCAGAGGAATGAGTATGAACTTTCACGAACTTTGTGACCACCCACTTATCCTCACTCTTTAGTGCTATCCTAAGCATTGCATCACAAGTATCAGTATACCGTCGCTTCAGTCCTTCTTTACCACACACAAATTCCCGAGCAACAATTGTCCCATCAGTTTCGGAACGAACCAACTGACCATCCTTGGAGTTGAACCCTAGACGTCTAGTGTACTCTTCATAGAAAGTTTTGGCAGCTTCATCAGTAGGGAACTCCATACCTATGTGCGGCTCAGCAGCAGTTCCATTGTCACGTTGCACCATGTTGTTGTTTGCTTCTGCACAGTCATTGCTTTCGGCATCTCCATCGCTGGCCATCGTTCGCTGACCCATTCCTTCTTCGATCACATGAACGTCCATACCAATGAACTAAGCAGGCTTAAGACTCTAGGGGAGAGAAACTACGTAGCCATCAAAATCAAAAGCATGTTGCTTTCCCAATCAAAGCAACAATCTTATTCAAATCTGCAAGCAATTCCATCAGCATATAATAGTTATGCAACAACAAGCGTTAAAATAACATGAAACTAAGCCTGAAAACCTCGCATGTGATTCAAACTGTAACAGTCTGTAAACTAAATGCTTGGAGTCCCCTTTCAATAAATTCTCCTCCTATCAATTCATAGAAAAACTAACTGGCAGGAGCCCGTAAAACAGAATTGCCAACTATTTCCTACCAGCTCGCATTTAACCTAACTAATAAAGCTGTTCAAATTAACCAAACTAGACCTATACACACACCCTACAAGTGAAGCACAAACCAAAAAGAAAAAAGACTTCATACACATACTAACTAACTAACCCAGATTATCAGCCATTTCAGACAAACTTCACCACAAACATCAATGCGCCAGAGATGAACCAACCAAATGAAGGAAATTCAGCTTCTCAATAGAAATTGGAAGATACCAACAAAGACTGACCCAGTGAACTACAACTCGAAACAGTTTCAGGGTAGCTGAGCAGAAAGCTCGTAGCTTTTCAACTTATGTGATCTCCCCAACGACCATGAACGATATATGCATAATAATGAATATACCCAAAATGGAAAAAAGAGACAAAGATGGAACCTCGTATCTGGGGAGGAAGGAACTTGAATGAGAATCGCACGAGACTGAGCAGCGCAGCAGCCCAGAATAAGCCTTTTCGGGCAAAATGGGAAGCCAAGTGAGAGAGAAGAGTGCCTGACGCCAAGTCGCCAAGTCGCCAACGAGCGTGTGATGAAAGTTCGTTCTTTGATCAATATTTTTATTTTGATTTCTGGTGGAAGAAAGAAAAGATTTGGGGAGTGAAAACAGAACGAAACTGAAAAGTGGAAACCCTAAATCCTTTTTACCTGTTAATTAGAAACGGAAATTTAAGAAGTGGGAATGGGAAATGAAAATTTCAGAGAAATTTACGAACAACCCACCCCGCCGCAGGTCGCCGGAGGGCGGCGGCGATGGGCTGATTGGGCTGGCCTGTGAATCGACCCGATTTAGGAACCATAGCCCAATAGCCTTTATTTAAATTTCTGAATGGTTAAAGGTCGTCGTAAAAATTACTAACCATCGTCCTAACTTAATATGTAATTTACCAAATTGCCCATTTTGAATTTCAAAATCAAACACAAAAGAAACAACTCCTCCCCCTTCCATAAATCTAAAAAAAATATATAAACCAAAATTCAACAAATTATCTTATGGATCGAATCATAAATCGTAGTAAAAGAATAGAAAATTATTGATATAAACCAAACAAATCCAAAAAAAACCCAAAATCCCTCAACCGAAGCCAATTTTCGGTTGTACCATGGACCAACCAAAAATCACCTTCAGTTGCTCCATGGCTCAACCGAAAATCACCTTCGGTTGCACCATGGCTCAACCGAAGCCAATTTTCGGTTGGTCCATGGTACAACCGAAAATTGCCTTAGGTTGAGCCATGGTACAAACGAAAATTGGCTTCAGTTGAGGGGTTTTGGAATTTTTTTTGAAAAAAAATCTGATTTTTACCTCGTCGGAGTCACTACTCATGATTCGGACGTATTCTCAACGATTACGACTCAAGAATGTCAACGATGAATTCGAGAGTGTGGGAAATTGAGTGTTTTTCATTTTTTTAGTTAAAGTGATGTTTGTTTGCTAAAAATGCCAAAAGGTTAAAAATGTAACTTTGTTATTTTTTAGGACGATCAATAGTAATTTTAAGGACGACCTTTATCAACTCCCTTAAATTTCGGCTTAATTGCAAGTTTGGTCACTCGAATTGCTACAAAATTTCATGTTTGGTCACTCGAATTGATTTATTCCATTCGTAGTCACTTAAATTAGTTTAACAGTCCAACTTTGGTCACTCTCCGTTAACCTCCGTCAAACTCCGTTAGTACCGTCAGTTAACTGCTGACGTGGCTAACAGAGGTGCTTAGTCATCCTATTTTAACCAAAAAAAAAAAAAAATATGCCACATCATTAAACCCTGAATATTTTAAAAGTCCACCCAAACCCAATCAACCCCTGACCCGAGCCGAACCTTTGAACCGACCCATTCACCTGTTCCCCCTCTCCTTCCCCCTTCTTCTTCCCCATCTCCGACCCCAACCAGAGCTCCGCGGCAACCTCAACCAGAGATACGGCTCCAACGAGATGGCCAAGAACACCCGGATCTCTGTGACCGAGGCGGAGGTGGAGGAGATGGTGATGAAGGTGGATTCCAACGGCGACGAGCTGATTGACTTCGAGAAGTTCAAAATCCTATGTAGAAACATGGCCGCTGGCGGAGAGGGAGAGGCGAGGGCGTCAGAGAATCAATTCACTTCTCCCTCCAAGATCCGCCACCGCCACCTCGTCTCCTTAATCGGGTACTGCGACGACGGCGTCGAGATGATCTTCGTCTACGAGTTCATGAAAAAACGGAACCCTCAGAGACCATCTCTACAGATCCGACGATGATGATTCCAGTTCTACTTCTCCTCCCTCCTCCGTGGCTTCCACCACCACGATGCTGAATTGGAAGCAGAGGCTCGAGATCTGCATCGGGTCGGCCAAAGGCCAGCACTATCTTCCCACCGGATCCGACGGGGGGATCATTCACAGGGACGTCAAGTCGACGAACATCCTGCTCGACGAGAATTTCGTCGCGAAGGTGGCCGATTTCGGGCTCTCTCAGGCGGGTCTGCCCGACCCGGACCACCACAGCATGGCGCTGAAAGGGAGCTTCGGGTACCTCGACCCGGAATTCTTCCGGACGTTTCAGCTCACCGATAAATCGGACGTTTACTCTTTTGGGGTTGTGTTGCTCGAGGTGGTCTGCGCGAGGCCGGCGATTGTGAGCTCGACAGGGATCGGGAGGGAGAGGCGAGGGCGTCAGATCTGGAGGCAGAGGAAATTAAAATTGACAGCGGTGGCGTCGGAGGAGATGAATTGAGAGATGCGTTCGAGGTGTTCGATAGGGATCGGGACGGGATGATCACGGTGGAGGAGCTGGGGTCGGTGCTGTCGTCGCTGGGATTGAAGGAAGGGAAGCGGATGGAAGCCTGCAAGGAGATGATCCGGAGAGTCGATGCCGACGGCGACGGGATGGTGAATTTCGATGAGTTCAGGACGGTGAGCATTCTTAATTTGGTCTCTAATCACCAAGGCGCCGTCGTCAATAATAGGGTTTGGGAGATTGAATGGGGTCGGAGCTGGGGAAGAAGAGGGGGGAAGGAGAGGGGGAACAGGTGAATGGGTCGGTTCACGGGTTCGGCTCGGGTCAGGGGTTGATTGAGTTTGGGTGGACTTTTAAAATATTAAGGGTTTAATGATGTGGCATTTTTTTATTTTTTTTGGTTAAAATAGGATGACTAAGCACCTCTGTTAGTCACGTCAGCAGTTAACTGACGGTACTAACGGAGTTTGACGGAGGTTGAACTGTTAAACTAATTTAAGTGACTAAGAATGGAATAAATCAATTCGAGTGACCAAACATGAAATTTTGTAGCAATTCGAGTGACCAAACTTGCAATTAAGCCTTTAAATTTCCTTTTACTACTAAGAAAGAGAACTAATTTCCCTTTTAGTACTAAATTCTTTTTATTTTATTTTGAGCATGCAAGGTTAATGCATTGTGAGACAAACAATAAAAAGTTAGGTGTTTTAGGGTAATAACCCAAACCTCTAAATCTAATAACCCTTGCTTGTTATAGGGGGCCACTTGCAAAATTATTTTAAGAATACTATATAAACCGAAATTGTGATGCACAGACAATACTTTATCACTGAATTGAATCAAGTTTATTGAAAAGTTACTTGTCATATCTTAATCTTAATGACTTAGAAGAGGATAATTGCATTGGAGGTCGACCACCACAATATACCAACCTCTTCTTTGTAGATTATTGTAGTTGTCAACAATGATCATACGGTAATATTTATCATAGTAAATTTTGTTATTAATCTTTTTATGGTTTTGAAATTTTGTGACCATTTCGTTATTGGTCAAAAACTAAGTGAAAACTTTGGTAAATTACCACTCTAATCGTTAATCACGGTGTTGAATTGAACCCAAACTGAAAACCAGTATAAATTCTAATCTCGCGACAACACAAGGATAAAAAGAGTGAGAAGCGGCAAACTGAGTAGAGTGATCGTCTGACACTCAGTAAGAACTACGATGAAGGCGATTCCTTTGCTGTTGATGGGATGTGGAGGAGTCGGCCGCCAGCTCCTCCGCCACATTGTCTCCTGCCGATCCCTTCATGCCAAACAGGTTGGTGTTCCAGTTGAAGTTCCCGCCCTAATTTGCGAAACCAAACCCAGTTTCATCTATTGTTTGTCCTGTGAATGATTTGGATTTCAAATGCCCATTTCGTTGTTTTCACTATCTGGTCATAATGAATGAAGGAATGATGAACTCTTGGTATGTTGGGGGGTGTTTGTATTTGGTTTTGGATCGCAGGAGATTCACTTGAGAGTTGTGGGTATCGCTGATAGCAGATCGTTAGTTGTTCCATCGAATGTGTCAACAGGAGAACTTAGTGATGAATTATTGTCTGAGGTCTGCCGGCTCAAGTCCGACTCCGGTTTCTCCCTTTCAGACCTTCCGGGTTTGGGTTAGTTCATCTATCCAACAGTCTGATCCCCATTTTTTTGGCATATTGCATTTCCTTTCTTGCTTATTTCTTTTTGTTGGTCTGGTAATGAAAGGCGAAAGCCGTGCCTACCTGGGTGCTGAATCGACAAGTAAAATGATGGAGATTGCAGCTCTTCTGGGTAAATCGACAGGTAGTGCACTTTAGCATGTTACAGTAAAGGTCTTTTATGCAGTAAAAGTGTGCAATTGTGCATTCCTTACCTTATCCACTTTGCTTACCTAGAAGCTGGTGGTGTGTCTCTATCACTCCCACTTATGAGAGGTATTGTGCTTAGGTCTGGTGGTGGTAGATTGCTCTGCCAGTTCGGAGACTGTAAACATACTGACTCAAGTGGTTGATCTAGGATGTTGCATTGTCCTAGCAAACAAGAAACCTCTTACGTCTTCACTGGTATTGAACTTTGCTAACCATCCTTATTTTCATTCAGTCCATAACTAATGGATTTTGTGATGATCTGTGGTGTTAAAATAGTGAAAGGTGCAATACTTGGTTATGTTTGAATGAAAATCCTTGCATAATGCTATTATGACATTGAATAACATAATAGTAATTATTTCTGTGATATTACCTATCTGCTCGTCTCATCATAGCACATTGGGGCACAAGAACAAGTTAATAATTTATTAATATGTGGAGTATATAGCATTTGGCATTGTCTAGTGCCCTGCATTTCTTATTCTATCGATGATAGTTGACACCTCCATATATAATCACCTGTGTGATTCAAATGAGTATATCTTTGGTTACATCTTGCAGGAATCTTATGATAAATTGATGTCATTTCCTCGTCGTATTCGCCATGAATCCACTGTAAGTAAATGCTTCTTCATGTTTATGTATCTTGTCTCTTTGGCCAGGCTACTCCTTATGATCTCCATTCTAAGTCATAGAACTAGCTTGTCAGTTGTAACATACTCATACATGGGTTCATCACTTGTTCAAGCATGATAATGATTATAGCGATATTGCTTTTTTGTTTTGAATTTTCATGATGTATAAATTGTGGTGTTTCATATAATTTGTGTTTAAAGGAGGACAAATTGGAGTTCATAAAGCACTAACCTGGTTTTTGTTCATAGGTTGGTGCTGGCCTTCCCGTCATAGTATCCTTGAACCGTGTAATTTCATCTGGAGACCCCGTGAATCACATAACTGGAAGTTTGAGTGGTGAGAATTTGAGCAATTTCTAAATAATGTTCATGTTTTGAGTATCATAATTTTCTGAGACATGTGAGTTGCGTTCTGTAATTTTGGTTTCCAACAGGCACACTGGGATACGTAATGAGTGGGATTGAAGATGGAAAGCCACTAAGTGAAGTTGTTAAAGCAGCTAAGAGTCTAGGATACACTGAACCAGGTCTTCTTTCTCGGTTTTGCATCTAAATTGATCCTTTAATTGAAAATGATTGAACCGGTCGTTCTATCTTGGTTTTGCAGTTAGATTTTATACGTCAAATGTAAATTGAGCTTCTTTTGTCCTTCCTTAAGCTCTTATGGTGCCTTGTTGAACTTCACCCGCATTAGAATATTTTCCAAATGTCTCGGAGTTTTCTATGGCATGGTCATTAACTTAGCAGCAGTTTTGTAGATCCACGTGATGACCTCAGCGGGATGGATGTCGCCAGGAAGGTTAGGTCTCGTATGTGCATATGATGTGATGATATACTATTTGTTCACTCGCGATGCTCCTTTGCAAAATTTACCCATACCAAGAATACATATCAGCTACAGATAAAACTATTGATGATCAATATGACAATTTATATTTGCATTCAAAAGAATCCTGCCAGTTCTCTTGCGATTTGACTGGTAGTATTCAGTATTAACAGTGGACTACATCAACTAATGAGACTCCTCTTTCGTTCAAAGAAGACATGACAAGTTACACGAAAAATCTAAATAAGTTGCAGAAGGAAAAACATCAATTGGCTTGCCTGATAAAACGTGGATTGAATCCATATCTTTTTTGCTTTCCCTTATATTTGCTGAAAATGTCTGTTCTTTTTGCTTGTGATTGCTGAAAACATGGCTAAACTCAGATGATTACTTATAGTTATTGCTAATGAATACAGGCTTTGATCCTTGCTCGGCTACTTGGGAGGCGGATCACTATGGATAGCATTGAAGTTTGTTTCTTTCCCTTTCATTGTTTCTGTTACATGGATAAATCAGAATGTCTGCAGTTCCCTAAAAAAAAAAAAGAAGAATATCTGCAGTAACTCTTCTCCCTTTGCCATATCTTGTTCTTTTGGTCAGGTTGAGAGCCTTTACCCCCCTGAAATGGGGCCTGATGTGATGTCTGTTGAGGAATTCTTGAGCAAGGGCATTGTTTTGCTTGATAAAAGAATTCAAGAAAGAGCTGCAAGTGCCTCCACTTTCGCAATGGTGCTCCGCTATGTTTGTGTGATCAACCAAAATAAGTACCACTCTATTCACATGCATTACATGACCTGCGAATTTTTAGCCATGTTTTCAGCAATGGCACTACTTGCGAATTTTTAGTCCATCAATGTATCAGATAATTCTTGTTGCCAAGTTCTCTCCAGTAGATTATCCTATAGTTTGTCGATACCATTAAGTTACCTACTAGCTACTGCTTACCATATTTTATGTCACTTCATTGTCAGGTGTAAAGTTGGGATCCGAGAGGTTCCCAAGAGTTCTCCCTTGGGAAGATTGAGAGGAAGTGACAATCTGGTAAGTCTGAACTCGCTGTATATATAACCTTACGGACAAATCGCCATTTGATTGCATCGAAAGAGTGTTGTTTCGCAGGTGGAGATATACACCCGGTGTTACAATACAGAGCCGCTGGTCATCCAAGGTGCTGGTGCGGGCAACGACACAACTGCAGCAGGTGTTCTTGCTGATATTCTCGATGTCCAAGATCTGATTCCCTGAAAACAAGTTGTATGATCATGTTTCATTAGTTAGAGAACTCATCTTTGTGTTGCTTATCTAGAATCTTGAAATTTTGAGGGTTGGTATTCATGTAGACTAAACATGCCATTTTGGACACTTTTGTTCTTCCTTGGAGGCTGAATATCAATCTCTAAATATCTTGATTTCGAAAATGGTTTGGGTGACAACCTATTTTACTAAACTCCTTGTCCTTTCGTCTCGGTCATCTATATGTTGTGTGATAACTTGGTGATTACTTGTTTAATTTATGCTCTTGTTCTTCATCAACAATTGATGCATATGGAGATCAACTTTCAATTTGTTGTATCGATCACTTAGGAAGGATACTATTTGCTATTTGGCTTATTGCTAGTCATAAGGCAATATGAGAGTAATAGATTCTATAATAGATGATAATGAACAGAAAATGGTACCAATAAGACTCTTGTCAAGTTCAGGGTCTTGAGCTGATAACTGTTAAAGTTAAAGGACCTTAGAAGGAAACTCGTATAAGTTCGGGGCTTAGAAGGTAATATTTTCATCTCCTCTCTAATTCGCTTGAAGTACAAATACCGGGTCCCGGCGGGATTTTCGTCGAACACCTAGCCTTCGTTAACAAATGGCAGCTAGAAGAACAATAATCTTCGAGCCTCCATTTCGACCTCAGGTCAGCCTGTCCATCCCGCCGCCGGGGACACCACCCCCTCGAGCTTCTTCGTTTCCGTTGCGATTGTTGTATTAAGGTCCCCAAACAGGAGTGTTTGGGTAAAAAGAATGTCGTTGAGGAGAATCATCAAACACCTTCCGTTCACTGCAGCATCCAGGTCGAGATTCCTCCCTTCCCTCCGCTCTCTCTGCTCCCTCGCCACCACTCAACAAGACCCCAACTCTCTTCTCAAGGAAGACCCAGTTCAAATCTGCAGCTCCCTCTGGGTCAAGTCCTTCTCGTCCCCGCCGGACGCCACGTTTCGCAACCTCACCGGCTTCCTCTCAAAGCTCGACCTGTGGGTTCTCGCTTATCAGCGCTCCTGCGCCCATGTGACCGGCACTTTCCCTCCTCGCAACGCCATCCACTCCTACACCCTCCATTCCTTACTGTCCCTACGGGATGCTGTGGTTCACAGCCGCTTCAAATGGAGCGACAAGGCGCACCAGATCATCCGCAGCCCCAACGAGAAGCCGCACACCAAGCTCATCTCCAATAGGAAGCTCAAAGCGATGCTTGATTCCCCTGGTCCTTGTTTCCAGGACAGGGTGGTCCAGGAGGTGCTGCTCATGGTGCTGGAGCCTTTCTTCGAAGCTCGATTTTCGACCAAGTCGCATGCTTTTCGTCCGGGAAGGAACGCCCATACGGCAATCAGGACCATCAGAAGCAATTTCGCTGGTTATCTATGGTTCTTAAAAGGTGATGTGAGTGAAATTTTCTCTCAAGTTGATCCTAGTGTTGTGATGGAATCGGTGGCAAAGGTTATCAAGGACAGGAAAGTATTGAATTTGGTAAGAAACGGGCTGAGATCACCGTTTGTGAGCCAGCATTCTCGAAACAGTGGCAACGAAGACCCTAAAAGGAAGAAAAAGAAGGAAACGAAGAAGAAAATCTTGAGGGAAGGTGAGCCTAAACCTGATCCCTACTGGTTGAGAACGTTCTACAATTTCGCTCCCGAGGAAGCAGCTAAGGTACCTAACTATGGTGCCTGTGGGATTCTGAGTCCATTGCTTGCAAATGTGTGTCTTAATGAGCTTGATCAAACCATGGAAGAGATGATAGTTGCTTTCTTTAAGCCCAACAAGCTCGACTCCATCTGGAAAGATTCGATCGATGATGGCTGCCACAACCCCTCATGGCCAGAGTTTGTACCTTCCAGTGGCAGAGAAAAGACTAGGAAGATGGATTACATTCGGTATGGTGGTCATTTCTTGATCGGCATTCGAGGGCCAAGAGAAGAAGCAGTGCGGATTAGAAAGCAGCTTATTGACTTCTGTGATACTAAGTATGGGATAAGGTTAGATAACTCCAAAGTTGAGATTCAGCACATCAGCAGAGGAATCCAGTTCCTCGATCATATAATCTGCCGTAGAGTGATATACCCTACGCTTCGTTACACTGCAAGTGGAGGACAAATTGTGAGTTCAAAGGGTGTGGGAACTTTGCTATCAGTTACAGCTAGTTTGCAGCAATGCATTCGCCAATTCAGGCGGCTTTCCTTTGTTAAAGGTGATAAGGACCCTGAGCCTTTGCCTTGTACGGCTATGCTGTACTCGGGTCAGGCTCATACTAATGCTCAGATGAATAAGTTTCTTGAGACCATGGCTGACTGGTATAGGTATGCTGATAACAGGAAGAAGGTTGTTGGGTTTTGTGCATATGTGATACGCAGCTCTTTGGCTAAACTTTATGCTGCTAGGTATAGGCTGAAATCACGAGCTAAGGTATACAAGATTGCTTCGAGGAATCTTAGCAAGCCATTGAGGGAGTTTAGTAATAATTCAGCTCCCGAGTATTCTGATCTTCTGAGGATGGGACTTGTTGATGTAATTCAAGGTGTTCAGTTCTCGCATATGTCTCTGATCCCGTTCTGTGATTATACTCCATTCCCCAGGAACTGGATTCCTGATCATGAACAGATTTTGAGGGAGTATATCAAGTTAGACAATCCAGAGTTCTTTTGTGACTTGCATTTGTCAATAAAACGTCAAAAGGGCTTGAGTTTGCCTCAGGATCAGATATCTGAGGTTGTTTGGGATTACAAGACACTTGGGATATGGAGGCACCAGTCGTCCGGTGAAAAACAAGAGAGGACTGATACTGTCCAAGAATCAGATGAATAAGTTTCTTGAGACCATGGCTGACTGGTATCGGTATGCTGATAATAGGAAGAAGGTTGTTGGGTTTTGTGCATATGTGATACGCAGCTCTTTGACTAAACTTTATGCTGCTAGGTATAGGCTGAAATCACGAGCTAAGGTATACAAGATTGCTTCGAGGAATCTTAGCAAGCCATTGAGGGAGTTTAGTAATAATTCAGCTCCCGAGTATTCTGATCTACTGAGGATGGGACTGGTTGATGTTATTCAAGGTGTTCAGTTCTCGCATATGTCTCTGATCCCGTTCTGTGATTATACTCCATTTCCCAGGAACTGGATTCCTGATCATGAACAGATTTTGAGGGAGTATATCAAGTTGGAAGATCCAGAGTTCTTTTGTGATTTGCATTTGTCAATAAAACGTTAGAAGACCTTGAGTTTGCCTCAAGGTCAGATATCTGAGGTTGTTTGGGATTACAAGACACTTGGAATATGGAGACACCAGTTGACGGGTGAAAAAGAAGAGAGGAATACTGCTGTCCAAGAATCGGAGGGGAAAACATGAGTTCCTTCTGCTGACATTATGTGTATCAAGAATCAACCTCCAATCCTCCATGCCCTGCACATATCTGCACGACTGCTGTTAACATGTTCATGCCTCGGTGGTATACATCTCAACTGTCAAGCTGTGAATGTCCGATACTAAATTGGTAATAGTTCCATTCTAAATCCATGAATGTTTTTAATGATTCGTGTTTCGCTAAATTTCTCAAGCAGAATTTCACATGATTTCACCTCGTTATCCACGAGCCATCAAAGTCGGACACTAATTCTTGAGATATTGCACACCTCATAGGAACCTTCATAACTAGCTTGCATCTTAATATCCATGCATATTGCTTTACAATAATTCTATGCTTCCATTAATACGTTTGGCCACTACAATTGGCAGATTATAACAAGGGCTTGAAGGAGATTCTAGTTGGGATGAATGTTGGAAGTGGTGTGTATTCTGGAAATAGAAACCATGCAGTGCTGGGGTATTTCTATTCAAAACAACTGTGTTTGATGATCTCTATTTTTCTGCAAGCTGTTGTTGGCAAGAGAAGAGCTCTAATACCGCCATCTGTTTGGTAATGTCGGCGAGAAGCTTGAAACCGATCCCAGATGAGGTTAGCTAGCTAGTTCCTAGAGCCTTGCTGCATTTGGGTTTCTTGGAAAACGATATATAAAAAACATCAGGTTAACTATTGGCTTTTGCCCATGTTCTTCTGTCTAAACAGTTGCTGCAGTTTGGTCTTCGACTTCGCCCCTATTGGCTCATGCCAAGGAGGCCTCCCATATTTGCTGTGCAACTCTTGAAGGTCCTGTGAACATCAATGGGGATTAATTCTGCTTCCACCATAGCTCCAGTCATCGTCGATATCGCACAAGAACCAGAAACGTCGGATTCTCCGCAAGTTCACAAGATCGTAAGTCTCATCAGTGGCCAAAGAACCCATTATGGAAATGGGATGCAGGAATCTTGGCGCCGTTCATGAAACGGAGTCTTTTCGGTGTTGTTTCCCCTGTATTTTGATCCGATCTTCCATGTATTTCTGTGTTTTTTCCGGTACTCGACTGGCAAGTTCAGCGCCAGGTCAATATATCGCACAAAAGTCAAAATATCGAGTAAATATCGCGATATTTTATTATCTCGCGAAATATCGTCAATTTCAATTTCTCGTCAATTTATCGCGTTTCGATTTTGGTTTTGAGGAGCCAAAACCTTTCGCGTTTCGGACGTTTCGGACGCCCGTTTCTCCGTTCTCTGGGAGTTCCCAGTTTGCCCGACAAGTACGACGACCTCGAACCCGAAACGGCGCTGCATTATCCAGTTCTTTGGGCCATCGATTAAATGGAGCAGAAGCTATTTGGGCCCGTTTGTGAAAGGGAAGCCCAACTTTCCCAGCCGTACCCTTTTCTCTCTCCCATAACGCTGCCGGATTCTTCTTCCTTTGGGCCGTCAATTTAATAAAGAAGCTTTTTGGCCGTTTCGCGTTTCGTCCGTTTCTCCAAACTTGCGCGGGTTTCCAGTTCTCGCAGGCAGTAGGCCTGCCTCCCTCGCGAAACGCCAGCCGATTTTCGGTCCTTTGGGCTTCCATTAAATAGAGAAGTAGCTTTATGGGCCTTTGTCAAATCAAAGCCCATGTGTCCCACCAACGCAAGATTCCAGAATCTGTGCCTCCCTTCTCCTCCCCTGTTTCCTTCCCCCATGGATTCCCAGCTTCCAAGCTTCAACGAGAGACGGACTGTTTGTCCACAGCGCCAGAAGCCATCGTCGTCTCCCTTTGCCGATTGGAACTCTTTACGGCCTCGTCCAGAAACGCCGACAATGAAGGCAGCGGATTGAATCTTGGGCGTTCGATCTCGAATCTGCGCACGAAACGTTTCGGGGATCATGCCTTAATTTCCTGCTGGTTCTTTTATTAAACACGCACAGGGACTTTTATCTTCGATTCATTATTGCACCAAGAGCACAATGCACACAACCAAACCGGCAATGATCAACTCTCGTACGTGCGTGTTTTTCTTTTCTTTCTTTCACCGGGCGCCACTTTTATTTGCAGCAGAACGAGCAAGCGACGTTCTGAGTTCTGACCATTGTAACTGCTGCAACATACCGAGCAAGAGAGGTGCGGACCACAGTGAATTAGATCATCGCATAGATTTTTCTTCTTCCTCTTGTGTTGCACACTTGCACTACATCCGAACACAAAAACCAGTTCAACACGTTACGTACGTCATGAACCAATTGATGTACTCGAGTTGCTCGGAGATATTCAATTATGAATCACAAAACTGACGAAAACTACTCATTTAGTTTGTACAGATCCGAATACCATATGCTTCACATAGAACAAATGAGGTTCTTAGAGAGATTCGAACAGAAGACCTCTCGGTCGGTCACATAAAACTCCGAAACCATGTCAAAAATTAATTGACTCGAGTTCAGTGGCGGACCCAGAATTGTCGGAGAAGTGTGTCGCCGATAAAATAATATAGTAATAAAAAAATTATAATTAATAGAGATTAATTCATAAAGTTCATAATGTCATGTTTACAAAGTACATTCATCGTTTATGTTGCGAAACAAATCTTTTTCGATATACACAACTAAATAATCATTCATAAATTGGTCACTCAACCGATTTCAAATTTTATTAATGATTATCTTCATAACTGAAAATGCTCTTTCGCACCTTGCAATTGCAACAAAAAAGAGCAAGTAAACTAAAGGATGAAAGAAAAGGGGATGTGGCAGTGGGTCTCAGTAATTAGAAACTAAAAAGAGTAAAAAAAAATGCATTTTTTTACACCATTTGCCTTTGTCGCCTATGCCCCATATAATGCAGTTCAGTTTGTTGGTTAGAAGCTTGTTGAGAAGAAGTTTAAAAGTAAAGAATAATTAGAGTTTGGCATGGGTTGGTCAAATAGGTTGAATTTCAAGTTTTGGCCGTTTTGATCAAGTATAATTTATAATCACATGGTTTCCTGATACCCGATAAAAATCTCAATCCAAACCAGTTTGGCAGGTGAGTCCGTGTTTACCACCATTTTCTAGGGATACAGGAACGTTGGTTCCTATCCCAAATCGTGTTGTTCATTCTTGATTTCTTTAGATTTTATCATAGCTTGGCAAAAAACCTAAAACCACAATGATGACAAGTTGAAAGTTTTATAAAGCAAATTAATCAGCCATCGGGCCGAGTAAAAGCTAACAACGATTGTGAGATGCTCATTTCCCGAAAACCGGTGGGATAGGCGATTTTTTATTCGATTTTCTGAAATTCGATTTCTATAAAACTTACTCCACCTCATCATATTACCAGAAACAATATTATTTCACAAGGTAATAGGTACTTGATTTTGGTTCATAAAGCTGATTTTTGGTTCGTTGCATCATTCATGTCTCTTTCCTACTAAAATTCACTATTTTTATCACGTGTTTCCCATTACATTATCAAATTCACTATTTTATACACCCCATTACATTATCAAATTTCATACCTCACCTTCCTCCGGCCAAATGGCCGGGGCCCACGCTAGTTTTTTCCTAAAGCCCGATGTACTTCCTTTGACTACTTCTGAGAGATCCCAAAGGACTTATGTATTCGTGCTCTGGACCAAACGCTTCAAATTGATCATAAGTAGGAGTAGGAATAGCCGTAGGTTATGACTTGATCCAATAGAGTCAGAACACATTTCTATCTAAAAGAAAAAGGTGATCTGATCTCCAATTCTTGTTCACCACGGATGATCGTGTTGGGTGAATTGTGACAAATTCCGGATGATGGTGCTCTATCGAAGGCAGTCGGCCGACATGCCTAAAATCCAGGGAACTTATGATGACGGCAAAGTTTCCACTCACTATGTCGTCATCATAAGTTCCCTAGAACACTCTCCAATTTGTTATTTTCAATAAAAAAAAGGATCAAGGGGTGGAAACGAAAAGTTTCAAATGATGGGGTTATGTATATTTTTTTCATTGTTGGGTTGTGGTGTGGGTTACTTTAAAACAAACATATTTATTTGATTTTACTTATTATTGTTTATTACTAATTAAGATAAATAACCTTATAACAAGAAAATCATTCTCGTATAATGAAGGTGTGTCGCTCACAATTATTTGAGGTGTGTCGGAAACCCCGGATTAAAAAAATTTGTACAAAAAATATATAGGTCATTCACAAAATTTCCGAGCCGACACACCCTACCCCTTACTAGGTCCGCCCCTGCTCGAGTTATAGAAAGAAGTTCAGTTATAAATCATATACGGTTTACTAATATTCTCTCGTCGCTCCAAAAACACAGAAAAATCTATCAAAGTATATACATGCATGCAATCAAAACCAAGCTTGGTAAGATCAACCATCATTATACCTTCGACCATCCTTGATGGATTGGCACAAGAGATGAGAAAGGCTGCTACCATAAGTACAGCAATGACAAGCTTACGAACCAGATTTGAATTCATTTTTGGTAGGCAAACAAGATATGTTCTTCTCCCTTTTACCCCTTGCCTTTGAGTTCTCTCTTTTTCTCTCTTATATATATAGAGTATTGCAGAGAGAAAAAGGCTCCATCCATAAAAGATGACAAAGTTGGCCGGAGATTGAGGACGATACTTAATCGGTATCAAGTAATGTGTTTCATATACGTGCCGCGTACGTAACAGACTGAAGAGAGTTCAGACTCCATTGGACTCATAATCAGCGCGACAGATGCTAATGAAGGATTTAAACAGCGGCAGATTCAGAACACAGTAGAGCATTGGGCCGCATTTCATTAGAAAAATTAGATACCGTAAAAAAATATAATGATCATAGTATTTTTACTATGTCAATTATACACAACGGTCTTTTAATTTAGCGAATGCATCACTAA